TAGATGGTTTCAAGGGAATCTATCATTTCTATCACTACTAGATGGTTTTAAAGGGAATCTATCACTACTAGATGGTTTTAAAGGGAATCTATCACTACTAGATGGTTTTAAAGGGAATCTATCACTACTGGAAGGGTGGCTGCCAGCGTGGGATCATCAGTGATCATCAGAGTCACCGGTGAAGGCTCCCTGGGCCCCATCGACATCAATGAGGAGAGTGTCTGCCAGGCCGGGCGAATCGTCTTCGCCTGTTGGAGTTGCTGCCCAACGCGAATCGACTCCTCTGTTTGCTTTGGGGTTTTGGACGCAACGCGCAACAAAATGCCAAGGAGCCACACGCGAAACACAAACTACAGATAACTACAGCCTGGGCTAGTTGAGCGCATCTAGTAGTTGAATCCATAACGCGAAGCTTGGAACACTTCCAGGGTGTTTTCCCCGCGCCAGCTCGTGAAATTTTTGACCATGCCATCCACAAGTCGCAAAGCGCGCGACTTATTGCAACAAGACGCGTTTTTGGTGGTGTCCTCCAATCAGTGAGTCACTAACCTGGAGCCTGACTCACGACTGATTGCCTTGCAATTAATTCAACACAGAGCACCCTAAACCAACGGCTGGCCGACGTAAAGCCTTATGTAAGTGATGTCCAGCGAACTGCCCAAGCAAGATATTTGTATGTATATATATATATTCCCGCATGGGTTTGTCTTGACATAAGGCGACTTTCTCAAGTTTTCGGGATGGTTTCCCTTCAACGGCACGCGCCAGCCTTTGGGAGAAACGTCTTCCTGAGCTCTCGCCTGGCTGGCTCTGCATTTGCATTTGGTGTCCTTTATCGCCCAAAGCGAGGGGCGGTTTGCCGCCCCCGCCCCCCAAACCTGCCCAAAAAGGACGGATAGAAGACCCCCCCAAAACAAAACAAACGCCAACCCCGACACAAGGAAGAGATGTCTTCTTTTGAGGAGGGCGAAAACTCACCCTTTCTCTCCTCAAACAAGATGCAATCCGAAGAATGTGGAATCCGTACCTCTCGCGGATGTTTTAGTCCTTCAGCCTGGAGAGAGAAACTTGTTGTTCAACTTGCAACCTCTAGGATAACACGTAAACGGGGTTGCAAGAATCCGGTGCCCGCTGTTTTACTCTGCGCTTAGCTCGTTGGCTGGGAGTCTATCAAAATTCGTATTCAACTCAGGCTTCATTGATTTCAACTGGTGCCGATCGATTCGCCTGGATTCTGCGGCAGCAGCCAACCTATTGTTCTTTTTACGAAAATACCCCGTTACAGATTGACATGGAACCCAGGAACCATCACTAGAGAAATCTCCTTCTGGGTTGCCCCCTTTTTGCGTTTTCTCCTTTGCAGGGGAGTATCTCGCCCCGCCAAGTTGGGCTTGTTTCAAAACAGGGCACCCTCATTAGTCCGCATTCTCTTTCGCCCCTTTCAAGTCCCCGAATTTTGCAACCAACCAGGGGACTCCCCTTTGAAGTGATAAAGTTGTTATGGGAAGGAACAATTGGCATCGCAGGAAGGCTTTTCCATGGCCAGAACTCGTCGCTGCCAATCGTCTCCCTTTTCAGACTTGTGTGAATGCGGGGGGGGGGGTGGTGTGGTGGACACTTAGGGTCTACTTTGCAACCTCCTTCTTTTAGGGTATTTTTTTTAGGATTCATGGTTGCAAAATAGACTCTGGGTGTACATAGCACCGGGGGGGGGGGGGGCAGGGGATTTTCCACTCAAGCCAATCAAGGCGCTCTTCCTGAAGGGCGACGGCTCCGCGGTGCTGCGTGCCGTCTCCACGCCCTTGCAGAGGTGGGTGTTTTTTCCACCTGAAGGTACGGGGAGCGTTTTTTTTTTTGGTTGTGCGTTTGTTTGTTTGTTTGGTTGGTTGGTTGGTTGGTTGGTTGGTTGGTTGGTTGGTGGGTGGCTCGGTTGCTTGCTTGCTTGCTTGCTTGCTTGCTTGCTTGCTTGCTTGCTTGTTTGTTTGTTTGTTTGTTTGTTTGTTTGTATCTTTGTTTCTTTGTTTCTTTGTTTGTTTGTTTGTTTGTTTGTTTGCTTGCTTGCTTGTTTGTTTGTTTGCGTGTTTGTTTGTTTTTTTTTGTTTGCTTGTTTGCTTGGTTGTTTGTTTGTTTGTTGGTTTGCGTGTTTGTTTGTTTGTTTGTTTGTTTGTTTGTTTGTTTGTTTGTTTGTTTGTTTGCTTGTGTGCTTTCTTTCAGTCTTTCTTCCGTTATTGTTTTTGGTTTTCTCTTTTTGTTTTAAACTAATGTTGTTCTTTCTTTCATGTTTATTTCTTTTGTTTGTGCCGGCTAGCTGTTTTTTGTCTGAGCTTGAGACGAGCCAAAGAGCGTTTGGTTGCGCAGTGCAAGGTTGGGGCCGGCAGTGGTTTGTGGCTGCTGCCTTTTGTTCCACTCTGCGCCAAGACACCAGATGTATGTTGTTCTGCACCACGCAGATTTGGAGATGTTAGTTTTGATACCTGACATTTCTTTGTGGCTCCCAGCCATCCCCTTGGCTTTTTAGACATTTAGTGTTTAGTGGGGATTTCCATTTAACACACTAAAAGTAAACTTTTAGCGGGGGATCTGAGGGCAGCCCAGATGTGTCGATGAGCGATGCTCAGTCCGCAGCATCCTCTCCAACCATGACAGCTCTGAAAGGTCTGACCATGACAGCTGTGACTGGACTCAGAGGCTCCCGCCAGCGGCCGGACGTGACAGACCAGACGCTCGCCAGAGGTCCAACCCAAGAAGTTGTGGATGGGCTGACCAGGTTCTACAGCCTCACCCCTTTGGTGCATGTTGCTGGGATGTTAGGACTTTAACATTTTGCCAAATGGGTTTTCCATTAAACCACTGAAAGTTAAACTTTTAGCAGGGGAGCAGAAAATAGTCGCCTGCAAGCGGTGCCAGCTTGAACTGCTTTCTCTCAAAGCATGCCTCTCTTACACAGTGTGTCTCTTTTTGCTCGGCGAAATCCGAGCAGCGCGCAAGACCGTGGACAAACGACGCAACTTGACCAAATGTTCTTGCGGGCTTTGCGCGCGCTATTCACAGCAATGATGAGTCGCCAAGACGGCTCCGTCGTGCAGACCCACCGGGGTCACACGGTAGCTGGGTTTTAGTCGTCGAGATGCCGCTTCGTCGAGGTAGTTTGAGTCTCCCAGTGACGACCCGACCCAAGAAAATTAACCAAACAGCTTTGGCGACTGATAGGTGCCAAGGTGGGGATAGCTTGAAGTTTTTGAGTTGTTTAGCCAAGAGGCGCAAGCAATGTGTGCTTTCTGTGAAGGGTTGGCGAGATCCTTCGTGGAACTCACGTTGGAAGGATGTGGTGGTTGGTGAGCACACCAAATGTGGTTAAGCAGTCAGGACAAATCCCATGCTACTTGTTCTCAATTACCTCCCGGTACGGCCTGAGGCCTTAATTGTTTTTGGTATCACATTGCCTCACTATTAAGCATGTTTGCTACTTCCGCTAGTATTAGAGATCAAGGGCGATGAGGGGCAAACATATCACTCTTTGATGACAGCAGCAAAATTGTGCTCTGACTTTTCGACCCTTGTCCATTGGCACGACCTCCACTTCCATGAGCTTAAGAATAGTTTTGTTTTTCGTCTTGGTTTTACAAGGAACGGATCTATCACTTTTGAGAATGGCAGTGGGCAGAAGCGATGATTAAAAGTAAAACATGGCATAAGACTGCAATGCCACATGAGTCACAATCAAAACCCGGATAGATGAAGGTTATATAGTAAGGGACGACCCCAACCAGAAATAGCTGCGGCCGCCTTCTAAATTCTTGAAGCATGGTTCTGGGTAGACTTGTGTAATGCCGGGTGTTGATGGTGCCTCACATGTCAATCGCGCCATCCGGAGCGAAATCCCTCCAGTCCCTTCCCCCGCCCCGTGCGGACGCCCGACGCAGGCTGGTGGAGAGGTCCTTCCCCGCCGCGGCCCCGCCGGAAGTGGGGAACTTCGGCGCGCCCGGCGCTTGTTTGGTGAAACGTCTGGCCTAGGTGCCCTGTCTCACCAACTTTTCTGTTTTTGTTTGGGTGCCCCTACTAAGATAGACAAAAAGAAAAAAGCTGGTACCCGCAATCGAACCTCTCTACTGGAGGACCTAGCTGGTGGTTGGAAGAAGCCAGGGAGCGGGGGTATCCAAATTTGCTTTTGAATAGGGAAGGAGCTACCAGGAGTTCTGTAAGGACATGATGGCTTAAAGTGGCGATCCCTCTTTGGATGATTTTAATAAGAAACCAAAAGGAAAGCAACCAGCTGACGGAATTGGTCTTCTGGGGTTTGGAGGGGTTGTTGCGACTCAACAGAAGAGCTACAGGGTTTTGCAATTTTGCGAGAGCCACCCTGACATTGAAATCCTTGTGGATTGCCCACCTGAGATCTGGAAACCCGAAATTCGCATGTGTGTGTGTGTGTGAGTGTGTGTGTGATTGTGTGATTGTGTGTGATTGTGTGTGATTGTGTGTGATTGTGTGTGTGTGTAGTTGGGTTACCATTTTGGGGGTTGGCTTTAAAGGGACACCACAGGGAAACCAAGCATATTGTGACATACCGGTACCTTTCCTACCTGAACTGCAGGAAATGACGGAAATGAGATCCTCCTTGGAATGGCTTTCCAATGCCACAACTGCATGTTGCACAAACGCCTTCGCCACCGCTTGCAGGTCTAAGATGTGCGTATATATTCAGATACGGATACAGCATTAAAAACATACTTCTGTCGGAAGGTGTGTGGTGTGATTTTTTGTATATGTCTGTATAATAATATATGTATGATTATACGCATTACATACTGTAAATACTGTATGTGTGCCTACCTATCTGCGGGCATCGGGATTCAACTACTGGTATAAGTTACTAAGAAGAAAACTAGCTGAAGAGGAGCACAGAACCCCTCATTGCCACCCTCCGCCCTACTGTATTTAGGAATCAGCATTTGTGTTTCTTTTTGTCCAGTAGAACCCCGGATTCATGACTGGGCGAGCGGGTGGGGCTTATTAATCCGGGGTGAACGTTAGTTTGGACTGGCCTGGACCCTCTTCAGTTTGCAGGACACTTTTGGTGGGGCTGGGGGGGTGGGGTGAGGGGTGTACGGAATGAACGAAACAACCAGTTGAGCGTGCATTCAAGTGAAGCTTTCGAGGGGTTCCAAAACTTCATGCCAGGCTCGCGCTTTAACTTTGAGCACTTCTTCGCAAAGAGAGCGGAGGCCTCTCCGTGGACAGTGCCTTTCCCTCGGAATCCTTTTCAGAAAAATGGCCCCAGCCAGGATTTGATGGATTCTCAAAACAGGTGAAATCAAGAGGATCCTTTCCAAAACGTTCGACGCTAGGCCGTGCCTCCGAAACTGGCCTGGAAGCACATTGGGATGAACCATCTTTTGAGAGGCCTCCAGGTTTCGACGAAGCGTCAAGACTAGACATGTTTGCGCAGCGACCCTCTGGCGAGAGCGAACGGATGTGAACGATCGTTTGCAGCTCTGAGTTCCATTTGGATCCCAGGCTGAACAAACCCCTCGTCGATTCTGGCTGAATGGATGGGAGTGTCTTCGGGGGGCCCCGAAAGTGAGCTGGTTTTCCTGTTGGTCTCCCTTGACCGCAAAAAAGGGGGTGCCAGCTCAAAAAAGACAGACCTACGTGGAAAACGAAAGAAACAAAACGGGGCAAAGTTCTACCTGCTCCTTCCGGACCTTTCGCACAGGTGCTTTCATCCCGCGTGTCGGGCCCGAGCGCCGCAGCACAGCTCATGCAAGGGTGCCCAGGATGTGAACTGATGACGTTGACCTGGGTAGACACGCTTTTACCCTTTTTTGGGGGAGGGTTCCCATACTAAAATAGACCACAGAAAAAAAAAAGAAACAAAAAAAAAAAACAAAAAAAACGGTACCCGTATTCGAACCTCTCTGCTGGAGGACCTAGGGGTCCCCCAAAAGATGTTCTCTCGCTTCCTGTTGGTTTGCCGGAAAAGAACCCCAAAGGGTAGCCTCCACAAAACGCGCGCTGAATAGCCGTCTTAAGCAGAGGGTGGAAAAGAATCACGGAAAAGAATCGGAAGGAGCGGTTCAGGGTATCTTGCCCTTGGTCCCTGATGGTGGAGAATCTCCGAGCAGGGGTGGTGGTTCTAAGTGTTCTACGTTTGGACACGGAGACCGATACAAACCTAGGCCAAAACGAGGGGAAAAAGCAACTGTCCCATGGAGTTGATTTTGCGGAAACAAGGAGTTGTGGTTTGTTTCTCATGTAGCTATGGGTGTCGAAACATGTCTAGGCCCCCAATAGTGCCTTTTTACCCACTTTTTTGGTTGGGAGGGTTCCCCTACTAACATAGACTACAGAAAAAAGGGTACCCTTATTCTAACCTCTCTACTGGAGGACCTAGATGTGAAATCCATATTTGAACGCCACAGGCCAACGAGCAAATGAGCGAATGGGACGTTTTCAGCAGCCAGATGGACCTCTTGAAAAATTGCTTCCTTATATGATGTTTTGATAGTCCATCCGACAACTGCGCCAAAGCTGGCTCGGGACCCCTTTAAAAAACTTGATGTCAAGTTAGCGCGGCACCTTTTTCGGGGTCCCTAGTTTGAACGCATACCCATATTATTTTCTTGTTTCCATCATTGATGTTTGGCTTGAAAGGGGGACACCCCCCCAATCTTGCCTGGTGCTCGAGCACGATGTTTTCCGGCCATGCAATGTGGTTCACAAGTGCTGGCCAAGCACCAGACTCATCGTAGGGATGGATCTATGGTGGCGCTCCGTACAAAAGGCTGGTGGAAAGGATCCTCTTATGGAAGGAAGAGAAGATCTCTGTCCGAACAGCATCACGCCAAGGGCAAGGGGCAATAGGAACCACTCAGGAACCGTTCCCGGCTTGCAGCCCGTTCAAGACGATGCACCGGCCCCATAGTTTGGTACTTCCAGTGATGGAAATCTCCCCATTAAATTTCCATGTTGCGGTTCATACGGCTCATTTGGTGTACTAGCGGAAGGGAGGGGGGATCGATGGCCTGTTTCCCTGAAAGGATGCGGAATCACCTGTTTCCCTGAATATCTTTGCCAGCATACCTTTACCGGCAATTTTTGACGGGACCTTGTAACAAGCAGGTGAGTTTTGAAGATATCCATTAAGGAACCATGCTTTGGTAAGAAATCAGGAGTGCCCAAGATCTTCAGGGGAAATTTGCTGGCACGGCATGGGTGCCAAGAACATGGTGAACCAAAAAGTTTGACGGTACGTGGGGCTCAAAGTCAGCTGGTGTGTCCCTGTTTGTCACCAAGCGGGGTGACTTTCATGGTGAATTCACAGGGTCAGAATGGAAGCTTGTTCGAACAGCGGTTTCATCATAGGCATTGACCTGCCCGAAGATCTGACACAAGAGCCTCAAAAGTTACAAATACAAACATTATTTCCCATGATCATAATGTAAGTTGGTTTAGTAGTGCTCCCACTCACACCCCCCGTCACCAATGATACACTTGGCCATGAATCGTACTTGGGAACATCATCAGAAACGGGTTGGTGGACATGACTCCCCAAATGTCCACCAAAGGGTCCCTACCCTTCCTCCCACGTTGCCATGGCACCGGTAACAGGGTGCCTGGAAGATCAGCTTGTGAGGTGCCGTGGCAAGGTGGGAGAGACGGAAATTGCAAGTCAGACCCAGGATCGTACTTGGGCTAGGCCCCCCAGCTAGGTGCCCTTTCTCACCCCTTTTTTTGGTTGGGAGGGTTCCCCGTCCAGACAAAAGTTGGTACCCTTACATTGGTGCATTTTGCTTGGATGTTCGGAGTTCGAACTTCAACTTTTTGCCAACTAATGGGTTTGCCATTAAACCGCTAAAAGTTAGTCACTTTCAGCAGGGGGGCAGAAAGCAACCGAGCTTATTCTAACCTCCCTTTTACTTTTTTCTTGGGGGGGGTTCCTCTACTAAAATAGACTCCAGAAAAAAGTTGGTACCCTTACTCTAACCTCTCCGCTGGAGGACCTGGCTGTGCCCAGGTACCCTCCGATCTTCAGCCCCAGTGGCATTTGCTCCCTGGGCGAGGACGCGAGCACACAGCGAATTGGGCCCAGCGCGCCTTGGCGCAGCGGAATCCTTTTTTTGGTTGTTTTGCTCGAAAAATAGATGGCCAACCAACCCAAAGGGGGGTACCAACTCCAAAAAAGTAAAGACAAACACACATAGGTGTGCTTTCTGGTTGTTTTGCTAAAAAAATAGCATGGCGATTCCTGATTTTTACCTGGTGGTTTCATCATCTACCAGGGAAACCCATCTTCCTCTAAAGGGACACCTATGTCAGGAATATGTGCGGGGTCAATGGAGGGGTCCAACGCTCAGGGTACAATATTTCTTTTGCGAACGACATCAAACCCACAAAACAGGGGTCCCCTCAAAGGGATATGCTTCTAGTACTTTGAGCTATTTGGGTTCCATGTTTATTTGCAGGAGAGTAGTTTGCGCAAGTTGGTTGACAAGCTCACCGATTCGGGGGTACAGCGGGCAATTCTACCTGATATGTTAACATTGGGTTAATAAATACCACCGATTACTAAGGCGCGTTTGCGGGATGCAGCACAAAACAGTTGAAACTCTGACTGCCACACAACCTGTACCTGACCTTGGAAGAACACAACACATCCCAAAAGGGGCACCCTCAAAAAGACTCGCTCAAATAGTGCAACATCGACTTCCATTTGCTTAAGAATATTTGTTCTTCCCCTGTTGGTTTTAAACGGAATCTATCACTGCTGGAAATATACATATATATATATATATATAATTTTTCCAGGGTGCTCAAGCAAAAGGCAGTCGATAACACAATGGTCAGCATCTCCTCACCTGCCGGGAGGTGTCCCACGTGCTGCGGGTGCTGCGGGCTGCCAAGGTTGGATTGCGTTCATCGCCGGCTGTTCCACAGGGCTTCGGAGGTCTAACTAGGTCCCCCAGCCAGGTGTCCTTTTACCGCTTCTTTTTTGGTTGGCAGGGTTCCCCTACTGAAATAGACTACAGAAAAAAAAGTTGGTACCCTTCTTCCAAGCCCGCAAAACTGGAGGACCTAGTAGTAGGCAACCAGCAGTTTCCCATGTCAACCCTAGAGGCAACCATTGATCCTAGGATCAATGGTTGCCTGCTATAGTGGTAACTGGAAGCACTGGGTGCGGTTGATTAATTTAGAATGGGGCACTTACTCATAGAATATCTGGGTGTTTGAGTCTAGGTGGCTGAGGAGCCAACGTGCAGGGAAAACACTCGTTGTCGGGGGGAAGCGCTTTCTTGCAAAACCCCACTCTCAGCAAAGCTGCGCCTCCGCTGTACATCTGTGGTTTGTTCCAAATCAACTTCGGCAAACTTCTTGGGCATTGCTTCATGTTCGTTGCTGCCGAATCGACCCTTCCTTGTGGAAGCCAACGGGGTTGCCGTTAAACCTACAAAAGGTCTCACCTTTTGCTGAGGGAAGAGCAACCCAGAGATAGGTGTGCATAGGTGTCCTTTTGGTTGGCTTGCTTAGAAAATAGAGGGCCTTGGGTTTATTCCATTTACCAGGGCCATCTATTTTTCAAAAAGGCCACCTATGTAGGTGTATCTTTTCGGGAGCATTTTTGGTTGCTTAGGAAACCACAGGGAAACCCACCCAGTGCTTCCGGGCAAGCCACTCTAGGCATGGCTACCAGGTTTTATCACGGGGAAAGCTCCTGGTTGCCTATGGCAAAACGCCAATTGGAAGCACTGGCCCAGCTTGGAACTTGTGACTCAGTTGCCCAAGGCCGACCTTTGGAACACCTTTGGGTGTTCTAAGTTTGGTCCAATTTTAGTCATCTAGGTCCCCCAGCTAGGTGCCCTTTTACCAACTTTTTTGGGTTTTTGGGTTCCCCTACTAAAACTAGACGTCCGAAAAAAGTTGGTAGCCTTGGTCTAACCTCTCTACTAGAGGACCTAGTAGTAGGTAGCCAGGGGTTTCCCATGTCAACCCTAGAGGTAAGGAGCAATGGTTGCCTGCTATAGTGGTAACTGGAAGCACTGCGTGGGTTTGATTTAGAATGTGGCACTTTTACCCTTTTTTGGTCCCCCCAGCTAGGTACCCTTTTACCCTTTTTTGGTGGGGAGGGTTTCCCTACTAAAATAGACTACAGAAAAAAGTTGGTACCCTTACTCGAACCGCTGCACTGGAGGACCTAGAATTTTAGTCATGACAGTCATGGCCCCAAAAGGTCAACTTTTCTTTGGAGCATTTTGCTTGGATGTTAGGACTTTAACTTTTTGCCAACGAATGGGTGTTCAGTATTAAACCACTAAAAGTTAGTCACCTTTAGCAGGGGGGCAGAAAGCACCCGAGTTTCATTCCTGGGTCCGATAGGGGCCAAGAGGGTAGTCAAACTTCAACCACCAGGAATCGGACCGCAGCTTTTAGTCCTTTCTACTTTCCAGGGGCCGTTTTGGGTTGTTACCAACTATTGTTGACCAAGCGAGTTGCACCTCTTCCCCGCGAGAGGTGCAGATGTCCCACTTCGTGGTGAACTTTGGGGCGGCGGACGGGGAGTGTGGCACCGAGGAGGCCTGCAAGAGCCTGGCGGCTTTTCGGTAGTCAGCTCAGTGAATTTGGGTGTCCAAAGTGTAGTTGGTTTAGTACGGTTGGTTTTTTGTTGTTTGGGTTTTAGTTGGTTTTTTGGTGGTTGGGTGTCCTAAATTTAGTTGGTTTAGTGGTTGGTTTAGTGGTTGGGTGTCCAAATAACAGCCATAGGCTGTTAGGTTTTGGTTGGTTTGCTCGTTGTCTTGTGGTCAAAGAACAAAAACACATACAATCTATATATTTTAACCCCCGCTCATTTGCGTCCCAAACACCAGTCAGCTGTGACTACTCTTAGTGGTTGGGTTTCCAAATAACCCACCAACAGTTAAACTTTTAGCAGTGGGGTCTGGGGACCCGCCTGGACTTTATTTTATTTTGTTGTTGGCTCTTTGGACTTTATGCTTTGGGGAAGCAGAGGATTTCCCATTGGACCCACAAAGCGTTAAACGCGTTTGGCAGAGGGGGTCAACGGCAGCCAAGTAGATAGCCAAGTTGTTTTTTCCAGCTTCACCCTAAGAGCAGTCACAGTTGATGGGAAACAGCTGGTATTTGGGTACGGTCGCAAGTGAGCAGGGGTTAAAATCTATAGATTCTAGGTCCCCCAGTAGTGCCCTTTCTCCCCCTTTTTTGGTTGGAAGGGTTCCCCTATTCCCCTACTAGGACCTAGGATTGCATGTCAAAACACAAAGCAAGGAGCAAAGAGGCAAAGAGCAGGTTTCCATTCAAGCCTTCATGCCCCTTTTTTGGGGGGAACGAATTGGCGGGGTTTAGGGCCGTTGTTAAGGGGCCCTATGATTGACAAACCCTGAAATGAACAAGTTGTTGTTTGTGTTCCCTTTTCACCCCGGTTTCAAGGACGCCCAAAGGAAAGAAATGGAAGCTGGGATTTTCAGGGTCCGATTTGACACCAGATCCTGCCCCGCGAATTAAATTCACCGCTCCCAAAAGCAATACCCAAAAGGAGATCCCTGTCGAAAAAGTGTAGTTCCATGGAAATTCAATTCAGTAGCATTGGCAGTGATGCTTCGGATCCCTGACAGAAGTGCGTAGGGCGTTGCGGTTCCAACCTTAAGTGGTTGAATAAATCCGTCTTTTATTTTTTGGAGAGACTTTCAAGGGAACAAATAGGTGCCACCTAGCATACACACACGCATACAAAGCAACAAACAAATAGGCAAGTTAGGGAGGCCCCGTCTCAAGCAGTCCTTTCAAGCCGCGGGTACAGGGTCTGCAAGGGATGAGCGCATATGGGCGGCACCTGCATGTCCGGAATTAACACACGGCTGTCACTGTTGTTTTTTCTTGTACGGTGTGAAGGAGAATTCCGGGACCCCCGAAAAGAGGGTTTTCCGCAAAGAGAGACAAGGTCTCGCCATTGCATTTCCCAAATGGGCAAGCCCCTGTGGAGGCACCTCCAGTGGGCAGAGTGTTGGAAGACCGAGCATTGAACTGGACATGGGTTCAAACATGAAAGGATATCAAACATGAGCAGAGGTGGTCACCTGGTTGAAATACACGTTCGTTGATGCCAAAGTTGATGGGAACTGTAGAGGCTTCTTGGCACGAGGCAGGATGAAAGAGGACTCCATGTGGTGGTTGGCCTTATCTCTTGTCAAGGAAGTGATCAAGCAACCAAGAGGGCAGGCAGAGGGATCGTTTTTTGGCGTTGTTGTTTTTACATGTTGTGAGGTCCACTAAATATCAACAATGTTTTTGGTTTGGGCAAAGTCCTGCCAATGTTATCGCGAGTTCACTTAAAAACACGATCTTACCATGATGAAGGTCCTTTGTTTGGGGGGATCCCTTGCAGTCCTCAAAAGGGTTTGCCTTTAAGTGCCTATTCAGGAGCACACAATTTGCATGTCTCTTACCACTGGCCGCCGCCCAGTGGTTTTGATTGAATGGATCCCTTGATAGAGCTTTTGGGATTTGAGAATTTGCAGAACCCACTGTGACCGACTCGCCCGGGAGAGACATACCCGGAAACAAAGGGCCGAGGGTCTAACGACTTTCTGCACAGGGAAGTATTCGCAACCCAGCCCTTTGCAGGTTGATTCAAAAACACTAGGTCCCCCAGTAGTGCCCTTTGTTGCCCCTTTTTGTTGGGGGAGGGTTCCCCTACTGAAATAGACTACAGAAAAAAGTTGGTACCCTTATTCTAAGCTCTCTCCTGGAGGACCTAGAAAAGGAAACCGGGATAACCCACATGCTCCATACCCAAAAGTAACATGGACAGCTTAGCCAGGACTGGAACGCAGACCCTGCGAACTGCTTGACCATGGAAGGTCCGATGTGCCAGCTTGGCGACGCCGGGGTTCAATAACTTTGTGTTGTTTCAACTTGTTTTATTGGTTCAATAACTTTTGGTTCAATAACATTTTGTTTGGTTCAATAACTTTTTTTGCTTCAACAATTGCACGTCTTGCTGGTGATGAACATATTTCACCCCCTACTGCTGTCAACATTCCTTTAGCTGCAAATCCGGAATGACTTGGTTCATGACCACTACCACCACCTGAAATTAAATTCTGGTTTTGGAACATTTTGGTTTTCCACCCCCTTTCTCCTAACGAGCAAAACGTGAGTCACAATCAAACACGGGTACTTGGAGGGTAGTGGGGGACAATCCCAGCTATAAATGGGTGCGGATATCCGCCTTTTCGATTATTTACATGGTTCTTGCCCAACCCTACGTACTCCGCGCTGCGCGGAGAGCCATTCTCCATATTATGTATGTTCCACTGACATCTTCGACATTGCCAAGTCGGCAAACAACAATCTGATGGATTTCCTTGCGAGGTGATGTTACCTTGGTGGCTCCCAGCCATCCCCTTAGCTTTTTAGCCTTTTAGTGTTTAGTGGTAGTTTCCATTTAACTCACTAAAAGTTAAACTTGTAGCGGGGGATCTGAGGGCAGCCCAGTTGCGGGACTGGTAAGGAGCCTCGTTCGAAGGATCCATTTGTGTGTTCCCCCCCTTCCTTCGGCGCGGTCATATTTGCTGTCCAAATCGTCCCAAGGGGGGCCTCAAAATTTAAGAACGGAAAGACTTGCCACACTTGGGCTTGTAAACAAGCACCAAGTGACACGACAGCGGAAGCGAAGACTTGGATTTTTGACCTCGACATGAGAGAACATTACCACCAGATCTAGGTCCCCTAGTAGTGCCCTTTACAATTTTTTGGTTGGGAGGGTTCCCCTACCAAAAAAGACGACAGAACAGGACGGGTGGTTTTGAGTTTAAAAGAGGCCCAAAGCAAACCACATATCTATTAGGGATGCCTGCCAAAGGAAAGGCAATCTCAAATATATACAGTAAACTTGGTGGCTCCCAGCCATCCGGTTCCTTAGCTGTTCTAGATCCTTTTAGTGTTTAGTGGTTGTTTCCGAATTTGACCCACTTTTAGCTGGGGATCTGAGGCAGCCCAGATGATATCTATACTAGGTCCCCCAGTAGTGCCCTTTTACCCTTCTTGGGGGAGGGTTCACCTACTAAGATAGACTACATAAAAATAATTGGGTACCCAAATTCTAACCTGGCAAATCTGGAGGACCGAGTATAGAAGGTCTTTGTGATGCCTACTAAGGCCATGTCTTGTTTTCCGGAAGGGCCAGAGCCAGGAGAGCCACAATCAAAACCATGGTAGGGTTAGTATACGAAACAATCAAAACCCTTGCCATAAATGCGTATGGGGTTCAAAATTACACCACCAGGAATCGGACCGCAGGATGTCCATGTTTCCACGTAGCAGGGCTCCATTTGGGCTACCTCTTTTTGACCCACCGCCAAACAGCTTCCAATATCTTGCTCATTTCTTTACCTGGTTCTGGGATTACGACCATTTTTAATCCGGGTTTTGAGCAAGTGACTCAGGCCCAACCCAGTTCTCCCCATCCCCAGGTCTTGAGGAAGCACGTCGTTTTTCCGGCCGCCGATTTTTCTGGTGACAAGGGGTCGCTGAATTTGACGCGGCCAGGCTACTCCGCCGTCATCATCGAGGGAGACCGGAAGCTTCTCAGCTGTGGTATGACAGGATATGACCAACATATGTATACCCATTTGGTTACGTATATGTTTGTTGAAACTGGGGGTGGGGGAGAGTGGGATAGGTGTGGGTGGGTGGGTTGGTGGGTGGGTTCTGAACCGGTCAATCTTGCCTGGCATGAACGGACCCTGGGTGGAGTATATGTGCGCTATCAAGAGCCAGGCCATACCATGGAGCTGAAGGGAAACCAACAGGGTTTAGCAGGGCTGATGTTTGTTGCAATCCGCTTGTTCTCAGGTTTTTCCCACATCTTCGCCGTCACTACGGCCACCGGGAGAACGTGTCAATGGTGCGCTTCCCCGTTGTTGACGTCGCAAGCTCACGTATTCGCTGTCGTGCGTGCTGATGATTATTGATTCTGGTATTTAGTTATTTAGAAGGCCTTATTTGGCTTATTTGCTCCCCTTTCTGATAATTATTAGGAGCATTGGTGCTTCAACAGGAAGACGGCAAGAACGGCTGAGGGAACTAGCCAGTGCCCCAACAAAACCTCGTTGTGTTGTTCATGGGTTGAGTGTTGAAACACGGAGAAGCACTTACTTCACTGGGTTGCTCAAAATCAAACCTGCGAACCTGGGGTCCTTTTTGTATTCGTGTCGCAGTGCGGATAAGGGACTGAGACTTGGAGTTCCCCACGTTTTGAACAACTTAACCTCATGAATCGACATCTTAATCTTACTCCAACATTTTGCTACCTGATTTCCAATCGCGAAGCCGATATACAAGATCTGACTGTGAGGGATCAGACATTGGAGCCACGGCTGGTTGCCAGCGAGAGTCTCTGTTCACTTGGGTTGATGCGGATGAGTTGGGTGTTTTGTCTGGCTAGGTCCCCCAGTAGTGCCCTTTGTTGCCCCTTTTTGTTGGGGGAGGGTTCTTATACTAAACTAGACTAAAGAAAAAAATAATAGGGTACCGTACCAACTTATTCTAACCTTTCTACTGGAGGACCTAGCCAGTGTTGGTCGATCCATGTTATACTTTTTGACGGTCGCTGTTTCCAAGGGGGTCAAGCTTGATAGCGCCGATATTGGGCTTGATGGCTCCAGGAACTCTTCGTGTTAACATAAAGAGTCGCATCAGGTACCTTTGGTGCATTTGGCCAAGGGATGTTGGGACTTTTTCAACCTTTGCCAAGTTATTTTTCCGTATTAAACCACTAAAAGTTAGTCACTTTTAGCAGGGGAGCAGAAAGCCACCGAGGGAACTAGCCCGTGGACTTTTTCAACTTTTGCCAAATGGGGTTTCCGTATTAAACCACTAGAAGTTCTCTCAACTTTTGGCAGGGCAGAAAGGTATCACGTCCGACTTGCTGGGTCCAAGTTTGGTATGCTGGATGTCCACGAGCCACTCGAGCTGGTGGGATACATGTGGATGCAGACGCAGTCATTGCGTATCTGTGTATGTGTAGATATATATATATACACACATATGTATATTTACATATATATATAATATGCATATTATATATTAATCTCTAGATTGTAACAACCGTGTTGGTAGAACAAATTGCAAGGACTATCTATAAAGAGTTACGTATCTAGATTGGTGAAACAACCATGTTGAAGAACCAAGACATGCCGGGCTTTGGTCAGTGCTCACTTGTGTTTTAAAGCATTTATGAAGCGTTGTAAGTGTCAACATAACCCGATCGTGTAAGTAAGTGGCTCTTCCTACGTTTGATTTGGCGCCGCAAGTGAGTCCCGTAAGTGATGCTCAAGCCGCTTTTCCGAGAGGCAAAGCCTCACGCGGGCTTGCAACAAGCGGTTCAAAAGTACTCAGCCAGCAGAATCCTGAAAGATTCAGACACTGACTTAGGTCACAGGCAGCTTTGAACAGATCTTAGGCCGTTTCAGGTCGCAAGTCTAAAAATCAAACCTGCCGTGTCGATCCGGGAGATGGCCAGCGATGATCATACCTTCGAGTACTGGGCCGGGAATCCGTCCATTGAGATCATCCACGGCCACATCAAGGCCGGACGCGGAAGGCTTTGCAGCTCCTTTCATAAACGGCGGATGGTTTACTAGGTCCCCCAGCTAGGTGCCCTTTCTCACCATTTTTTTTTGGCGGAGGGTTCCCCTACTAAAATAGACGACCGTAAAAAGTTGGTACCCTTGTTCTAACCTCGCAAAAACTGGAGGACCTAGTTTACATCAAGGCCACAGTGGGCACCTTTGAAGGCTGAACTTTGCACCTTTTTTCAACAGCTAACGAACCAACAATCTAGGGATTGTTGCCAGGGTATACAGATTCGGACACTTTCACCCTTTGAGCAAAGGACATTTTTTCAGCTGCCCTAGGCACTCGCGCAGGGTTCAATGAAGCGTTTGACTTTAACAAGGAGTGCGTTGAAGGGCTCGTTTGGCCTAGTTCGAAACATTATTTTGTTTTCATCTACTGCATATGACTCCAGACTCCAGAGGATGGCTTTTGCATTCTAATGTGCCTGTGCACTTCCATGATTGTTGGAAAGAAGGCGTTGCTCCAACTCATTGATCGACAGAGAACAACCTGCGATTTTCCTGGCTCTTTAGTTTTCAGTCACACCCAAGAACCATGGACCACCCTGAGTGAGCGAAACTGCTGAAAAATCCCGAAACCTTCGTCGTGCACACCAGGCTCGCCAACAGAGACGACCCACAACCATCGTCCACTAAAGAACGCCTTGCACGTTGCATGCCCATTTTACTCATCTGCCCCTCAGGCCATGCTGCCTCATGTTCGCAGGGCTTTTATTGAAAGACAACAACAACGCATGGGCGTCGCGGTGGTTTTTTTCTAGGTGCCCCGAGTAGCGCCCTTTTACCCTTTCTTTTTTTGGGGAGGGTTCCCCTACTAAAAAAGACTACAGACAAAAAAATCGGGTACCCTTATTCTACCCTCGCAGAACTGGAGGACCAAGTTTTTCTCATCAAACTCACTTCTTGGGTCGCAAACCTGGCTGATTCTCAGGGAATGAAAATCCCGGAATCCCGGTTCGCTCCTTTGGGTCATTTTCACTGAGAAGCATAGGTGGCCTTTTTGGTTGTTTTGCTAGAAGAATAGCTGGCGATTCCTGGTTTACCTGGTGGTTTAATCGTCGACCAGGGAATCCCATCTATTTCCCCTAAAAGCACACCTATGCTGAGAAGGGGATTGCAAAGAGGAACGAGAGTGCATGGTTTTTCTCGGGCTCATTCCAACTCCTTTGTCACCAGCTTCCTTTCTTCCGATTTTTTTCTTGTCACCAGCAAGACAACAATCCGTTGCGGTTTCCTTTCTTCCGAAATCCCCAGCGGTTCATTCCCGACACCCAAACCCACCAAATTGGCTCCGGCCTTTCTGTTGGCTTTGCCTTTAAAACCAAAAAAGGGGTTCCCACTCGAAACAAGGAACCACACCCAACTCCACTGCTGAGAAGGGGATTTTTTGAAAGGAAACCATGGATGTGTTCTTTCTTCTTGGGGTCGTTTTTTTTTTTTTTTTCTGGCTGGAGCTCAGTGAATGACCCAAGTTTTGGGAGAATGAAGCAGACCAGCAGATTCCCGAAGAAAGGAAGCCATAGGATGGATGGTTTATAGGCATTTCCTACCTCTCGTACTGATGGACGAAATCCGTTCGCACCACTTTGAAACCGTGGGAAGCCATTGCTCGTTGGTACGTTGGGGGAATCATTCATTCCAGGGTTTCTGAACAGTGGTGCGAAATGGATGTCGCAAGCATCCACAGTACAGCCTTTAAACATATGTCCATGACCCCATTATTTTGGGTAACCCCATGTTTTAAGAGTCATGGAGATTACTCAAATAGACTACAGAAAAAGTTGGCAGCAACTTATTCAATCCTCGCAAAACTGGAGCACCTAGCATAGGATGGATGGTTTATACCTGGAGCCTCCATCACCCTTTAAACATATGTCCATGACCACGTTTTTTTACGAAATGACCCCATTTTTAAGGGTCATGGAGACTCGAAGTAGGCCTCATTTCTGTAGGGTCAAATTAAGCCACCAGGGGACTGCAGGCTTGAGCCCTTTTTTCCATTTGCCGAGGGTACATTTTTAGGTACCGAAATTTTTGACCCACCTCCGCGCCAGCCAACTCCGCAGGTCTCGGGCTCCCGCCCGGCGGCCGCCAGCTCCGGTCACTCGGAGAAGAGCGGCACGGAGACGCGCATGGCCCTCGCCAGCTCTGTACCCTGCCGCGCGGCGCGGGAAGTCTTTGTCGGGTTTGTTCGGGGTTTGTGGGGGCTGAAGATTCATGGATTTCTGTGATGGTTGAACAGAAACAGTTTTTTTGTTGGGTTCTTTTTTTTGTTTAAATAGATAATAGAAAGGGGGGAAGGTTATTAGCATCACCATAATTACAATTCAAGCTGAGAACATCCCCTTCTGAAATATTGTTTGAAACAAAGGTTTTTGTTGGGGGGGGGGTAGGGAGGGAGTGGGGAAATACAGCTGCCACGGCGTTTGTTGTTGTTTTCATTTTTTGCTTGGGGGCATTTTGTTTGTTTGGTATTTTAGGGGGGAAAACAAACCTGCCATTTTAACAAGTTTTGGGGAAAATATGTTGTTGTTGTTTTTGTCTTTTTTTTTGGGGGGGGGAGGGACATAAAAAGGGCCATTTGGCTTGGTTTTTCAGTCAGCCGTCCGGTCCCTTAGGTTTTTAGGTTTTTAGCTGGTTTAGTGGTTGGGTTTCCATTTAACCCTAAGACACAACCTTTTAGCAGGGGATTTGAGGACAGCGATATTTGGTATTGTTTTTGTTTTTTTGCTTTGCGCGTCGGCAAAAAAGTGACTTGAACACCTTGCTGAACCTCTGAGCCGCAGCTGCGCCATGTATCGAAATGGCTTGGCAGTGAGTGAGCATTTCGTGCCCGGTCACGATTTTGCCGCCATCCGCAGTGATGCTCGCCCTGCATGGCTAGTGCTTGTCCAGACTCTTGGAGTTGCCAAATTTGTGGTGTCGCTGGTCAAGCCCCTTGTGGCGTTTCGTACCAGTCGGACTCACTGCCTTCTGACTGGTTTGTTTCAGCGCGTGGCGCTTTCCCCGTCCTTCTGGTGGAGCAACCCGGTGACTTTGCAGGTGTAGCTGGTAGAGCCGGCCGACCCAGCGATTCACTGCCCAAGATCGTGACCAACGCGTCACTGCCCGCGGCTGGCGTTCACTGTTGCTTGTACACTCGCTGGTGGCTTATGCGTGCTGCCCACAGTCTCCCTAATGCGCGGCAGGGCTTTGATGTGTTCCTTTGGTTTGACTGTCGTCCGAGTCAGGGTTTTTCCACTCAAGGGCGGAGACAAGGACATGCCTTTCAGAAGCTTCCTTGCAACAAGCCTCAAAGTGCCTCAGGCCGATGTCGAGGATCGAGTCATGCGCACCCAACAGAGAAAGACGGGCGATCGTTGCAACAACTCATGGAACACAAAGACGGCCTTGTGAAGGTGGACCCAGGCGATTTCACCACGCTGAAAGAGAAGCTGGCCAGATCAAGCCAAGGCCGGCCAGAAGCAGACGCCCTTTGCCAGACCACTTTTCTGGCCCCAGCCTGTGTGCATTTGACACCCCTCTTTGTCCACTCACAAGAGGCAGCTCCGATCAGTGAATGCTCCCGGTTCTCGTGGTTCTCACTGGAGTGCTTCATGTCACATGTGTCCACCGCGCTTCAAAATTCGACGTTCCAGCCTTCAACCAGAATAATAGTGGTAACAACAGGAACAACTGTCATAATAATGATGCACGTTTGACCCTTTTCTGACTGTTAGTGCGCACAGTTACTCAGAAGCCTGTCCATTCACTTGGACCTTCCGCCTACACCGTGCTTTAGCAGCGCGCGCAGCCAGCCTCTTGGAATTCCACAACCTCCCAGTGTTTCCGGCGAGCCACTATAGTAGGAAATCAGCGAAAGACCATGATGTAGAACCTAGAGTAAAGAAACCCTGAACAAGCCTACTATAGCGGCGAAACACCAATCGGAAGCACTGGGAACCCCAAAAAGTTCGCCCCTTTCAGCACTGGGACACCCGCTTTTTCTGTGCACTCCTTTGGTGCTTTTGTTCTGTTGGGGGGTTTGCATGTGTCCTTCGCCTCCTTTTTGGTGTCGACTTGGGCGATTCTTGCGCGAAGTTCTGAGGCCACAACCCCAAGATTCACCCTGGAAGCACTGAAACAAACACATTTTATGTGTACCTCTGTACTCCTTTGCTTGTGTGGTTGTTTTTTTTTGTGCTCCTTTTTTTCGTGTCCTCCTGGCCTTTGGATGACCGGGTGTCCGGGTGACCCGTTCGAGGCCACATGCCGGCACCGGAGCTCTGCGACTTCCTGGGCGCCTTCGGCGCCACCAGCCACCGCCGCTTCAGGCACTGCCGGGTGCTCCACGGCAAGAACAGCGAGGCGCGCGAAGCACGCTCAAGAACCGCGGGGCAGACGTGGTCCAGGTTCGGCTCGCTGTTGACCCCACATTCCTCAAATTGTTTGGAAAACGCCATGGAAAGCGATTGTTTTTGTGGTTTTCCTTGTACATGATATTTGTCCTTTTGAAGGTTCGGTTAGAGGTCAGAATTGTCGTCAAGATCAAAACCAAAGAGACTTTGCAGCGGCCAGCCGGTTACACCAAGCTAGTCCTTGGGGCTAGTCACCCGCAAACTGGTGCCAAGCACAAAACTGAAAACCCGCATGACTCCTGGCTTCTCCTCCAATTTCGTACCCAGCCCCCACCATGGGCTGAAAAGGTCGGCCTGCCAATTCCCGGATTTGTTTGGACCCCCATGTTGGACATATTGTTCCTTACATTTGTTCTTTTTTATAGCCGCGCCCTCTCATGGACCTTCGGGTGCCTGACAAGGTCGCACCGCACAAGGGATATCCCAGGCAACTAATCCTGAAAGATGAAATAGTGGGACGCTTGTTGTATGCCACTTTGGTGGTTTCCAGGCATATGGTGCGCGTGTGTCGTTTTGGTTTGTGTTTTGCTCTGGCTTCAATTTTAACACAAACCAGCGAGCGGACAAACGTGCCGAAAGCCAAGGGGAGGACCCCCTGGGCACTGGCCCCGACAGTAAACATGATTTAAAGTTGGATGTGAACAAGAGAAGCCCCGGTAAATGCTCGGTTGGCTGGGTGGCTGGCTAGCTGGCTAGTTGGTGGTTGGTTGGTTGGCTGGTTGGTTGCTTGCTTGGTTGGTTGGTTGGTTGGTTGGTTGCTTGGTTGGTTGGTTGGTTGGTTGGTTGGTTGGGTGCTTGCTTGCTTGGTTGGTTGGTTGGTTGGTTGGTGGACCCAGCCCGCAGGACTACCTCATAGCTTTGCTCATGGCCTCGCCCGCGGACGTGGAGTGGCTGGTGCAGGAGCGGGGGATCTGCTCTCAAAACGGGGCGTTGCGGTCTCCTCTGACGCCTGCCCCCCACTTGAAGCTGGGGTCGGGGGATTTTTGGTAACGGATCTTTGGGCTTTGACTTGCTGGGAAACTTTGCAGATTTTCCAAAGCCACAACAAGTTAAACACTTGTAGCAGAGGGGTTTGCCCAGCAACCAAGTCAATCAATCGGTACAGGGCTCCCGTGTCAGGCCGTATTTTCACATGTCCCAGGTGACTCTGAATGGGGACCGCAAAAAAGTCAGCAACCTGTCGCAACCAGGATGTCCCCCCAAAAGCGGGGGAGTACCATATTAAATAGAGTTGGTCTCCCTGGGTCTTACCCCCCAAACAAAAGCCAAAAAAAGAAGGTCGAATCTCAGGGTAGACTAATCCAAACATACAATACCCACTTAAACAGGGCTCCTTAAAAGATACATTTTGCCCATTTGAAACATGGCTTTTTCCACCAACATATAAAGGGCAACCACCATTTACCAGGCAATGTTCAGGTGTATGTTAAATTGGTGGTTGGCCTTTGGTCGCCCTTCAACCCACAAAGGGCATCCTCGCCCAAGTGGGCCAAAGGGGCTACACCGAGGAGTTCCATGGAAAGCGGTTCAATAGCATCGAGCCGGCGGTCTGCAGTCTGCACTTTGTGGTGACCTGCAGTCAAGCTGGGCTGCTGGAGGCGACGGAACACGCAGAAAAAATGAGGCTTGGGAACAGGGGACCAGTCACAGCAAATTGCTTTTGGCCGGGCTCCATTGGAAAGGGTAACACGCAGGTAGATGAAGCTTGGGGACAGTCACAGCAAATTGCATCTTTGGCCGGGCTCCATTGGTAAAGTTCCAACATTTCACCTTTCTCAGTTGTCCAAAGAAAATCGACCATGGTTTACAGAGGTTAGCCTTTTCTTTCTGGGCGCTCTCTGGGCATATGAAAGAAGTTGGCGCACATATCCACCGTCCCGGCCGGGCTCGATTGGTACGTGTAATTACCTTAGTGGTGGAAAGAAGATGCAAACATGCTGGCTTACACATTTGGATGTCTAGCTGGGCACAATATATCTGGGCAGCAGAACATGCTGTGCCCATGATATGTATCCTTGATCATGCTTGTTGGAGGCGGCACCCTTTGGGGGTTGACTAACCAGAAACCAAACGGAGATGTGTGAGATAGCCTTAAAAAAGAAAAACACTTGCTTGGTTTATTACCTTTGCAACCTCACTCCAATTGAAAGAAGCACCTCCATCTCCCATTTTCGCTTCAGTGTGTTTTCTTTTGCCCCCAGTTTTGAATTACAGGGAACCCATCAAAAGAAAAAGCACATGGAGGTTGGGAATTCGTTTCAGTGTGTTTTGATTTTGCCCCCAGTTTCAAGTTGCAGGGAATCCATCAGAAGAAAACGTGGGGGCACGAATGGGAATTGAGGCCAAGCACTCAAAAATCACGGGCCCGTACAACCACTATTGTCCCCAGATGAATAGACCCGTACTAGATTCGGCTCTGAATCCTCAAAGACACCCGATAAAGCAAAGTCAAGGGGTTCTGCTTGGATCCGGGACTCCCATGAAAATTTGGGTGTATCGGACACCCCGAAAAAGTGGTGTTCCCCCGAAAAGGGGGTACCGACTCAAAAAAAGGCACACCCAATTGACAGGTTTCAATCATACAGGTTTCAATCATTCTCTACCATCAAGCCGGCAGAAGTCCACTCAGAAATGGCCACGAACTCAAACAAAAACACGAGCCACCCACTTGTGTTACATGGGACGGCCATCACGGAGACCGCCGACGTTCCTCACTAAACGGGAGAAACATGGTCAAAACTGGGCGCTGAAGGGAATGTTGAGCAACCCCCATGTTAAACAGCCCAAAATAAACGTGTGCCTTTTTTTAGGCGGGACCTGTCAGACATTGAACCCACTCAAACAGGGGAACAAACTTTAAAAAAAGGGGGCGGGGGGAAAAACAAAACAAACGAGAAACCCATTTACACCCACAAACAAAAAATATGACTGGGTCAAAACTGGGGGCCGAACGGAATTTACATTTACAGCAACCCGCATACTTCCACCCAAACCATTGAAACCGCTAAAAAGGGGGGCACCCTCCCGAAAACGACATACCAACACCCAAAAGCACGTTCACTGCCAAAACAAACACAAGTCCAGATGTTACAATAATGAAACAAAAACAGGGGTACAACTCCAAGAAACAACATACCATTTCACCACGGGACAGCTTGCGCGGTCCGGATTTGAACCCACCCGACTTTGGAGGTAAGCTGCCGGAGGTAACAAATTTTACTCCAAACCCTGGCCTCCATTTTTCCAGCCAATAAACACGCCACGTGCCGTGTGCCGTCCTTAGAGGACTCCTCCAGCCCCAGCGCCTTCCCCCGGCGCTGGTCGGGGCCGCAGCCGCGCCCGGAGCTGCCGGACTTCGCGGAGAAGGACGGGACCGAGGGGTTTGGGTGGGTCGGAGTCCTGGGGTTCGGGAGCCGGCGGGCGAAAATGGGAAGCGCGGAGCCTTCATAGAGATTTCGGTAAGGCCCAGCTTGCCCACTAGGTTGCTTCCATTGTTCAACTTTTTTTGGGGGAAGGACCAAAGAAGGATGCCTTTTTTCCATGGAAATCCACTGCGCATTTGAGTAAGATATCTTTGGACTAGAACACTTTTTGGTTGAAACTTTATATGGATTTGTGGCACGAACCGGATTTCCCAAGAGTTGGAGAGTGAAAAGGGGCCACCGTAGCTCAAACTGGAACCCGAAGATGTTGCGGGCTTGTGGGGTTGCAATGGGGTACCTGAAATTGGTCTCCTCATAGCTATTTGGTATCGGATCTTTGGACCTTAGCTTTTTGGTTGAAACAGCTCGGATTTTGACACACAAAAAGTCAAGCACTTTGGGCAGAGGGGTCAACAGCAACCAAGGATCTAAGTAGAACTTCTGGTTGATGTTGATCAAAAGGATGTGCCGACTAAGAGTCGGGGTTCAGACCACTTTTTCAGGGAACACCCGCCTGTGAATGGGCTGGGTTGAGAAATCCGGGGTTCACATTACAAAATGAGGTAACCCAGGTTTGTCCAACAAACCAACCAACAAGTAGCTTTGTTTGTTTTTTTTCTTGGGGGGGGGGGAGGGGGTTCCTAAAGTTGGTTGTGACTCCAATTCTCGCAATCATAATTTGCAAGGGAATGTGAAGAAGGTCTGTTAGGAATCCTGTTTGCTTCAATTGGTTTCTACCCCACCACCGAGGGAGCACGTTGATAGATTTGTTTTCTATCATTTCTATAGCAGTTCTTGCGGCTGTACATCTCATCCGACCCCTGGGGTAGTGATTTGGGGGTGGAAACCATCTCAGATTGGCTATACAAAAGGAGAATCGGGATCAGATGGAGCACCCCCCGATCCCGTCCACTGGAAATTGGCAAGCCTCGGTGTCATGGGCAAATTGCTGAGACTCATCTCTGGCTTGTCCCAAGAAACCAAATCCAAGCAAAACCAACCCATGGGGACTAGGTCCCACAGTGGTGCCATTTTTTACCCTTTCTTGGGGAAGGGTTCCCCTACTAAAATAGACAACAAAAAAAAACGGGTACCCTTGTTCCAAGCTCTCAAATCTGGAGGACCTAGAGGACCCGTTCGCTTTGACACAAACCCGAAGGCGAGTGAAGAGAAACCTCAGTCCGAAGCCCAAGCTCAGGGGTTCTCGCCCTTCATGCTGCCCTCGAGCAACGTGCCGAACTTGGAGAGGCGAAGCGTGGGAGACCCGCATGGACCGGAGCTGACCTTTCCCATCTTTTGGTCATGGCCCCAAAAGGTAAATCTTTTCTTTCTGGATCCGTTGGGCAACTGAGTGTCAGGTTTCACCGGATTGAGTGATCTATTGCCATCTACCCTCCCTCCAATCATGGAAGTTCACAGGAGGCTTTGGGAGACCACTTGTCTCGGGAAGCCTCTCAAAACGTCCACTCACGTGATTTGAGGCAGGATAATCATTTGGGAACGTATCAAACACAGGGAACCCCCAAAACGGCTTCGGTTCTCCTTTTGGTTCCCTTTTGAAACACAAAAGGGGCTCCGCCAAAAAGACAGACCTGTTTCCCATGACCATTGGTTCTAGTCATTTACCATGAGCATTGGTTCCAAGAAAAACACAAAAACAGGCCTTGAAAAGAGAGCTATCGCCATCTTGGTCACCGGCCCGGCTCGCGCGCCGGGTGTGTCCTCTTTTAGGCTCACCCCGAAATGGAGCTCGGGTTTCCTTCGGTGTTCTTTCAAAGCCGCAAAAACCGGCTAGAAGAAACTTGGTGGCTCCTAGCCATCCGGTTCCTTAGCTTTTTAGCCTTTTAGCGTCTAGTGGTAGTTTCCATTTAACCCACCAAATGTCAAACTTTTAGCTGGGGATCTGAGGGCAGCTCAGGAAAGACAGCCATTTTCAGCGAACTCACCCAAGAAGGTCCACAGCTGAGGAAGTTCCTCTATTAAAATGGGTGAAGCAAGGGAACTAGCTTCAGCCAAGAAGCCGACTCAATCCCAAAAGCATGTGATGGTAAACACAACCTCCCATTCGTGACAAAGCTGGTATGTTGTTTTTGCCGCGTGGTTTGAAAGGGACATGGTTGTGACTGCCAAAGACATAAACACACAAAAAAGCAAAAACAACAAACTACCTACCTTCTCTGCTTGCCTGCCTGCCTGCCTACCTACAATTACCTACATACGTACGTACCTGCATACCTACATACCTACATGCCTACATACTTAGATGCCTACATGCCGAAATGCCTACACACCTACCTGCCCACATATCTACCTGCCTACATGCCTATATGCTTAAATTCCCACCTGCCTACATGCCTACCTACCTACCTTCCTACCCAACCTAACCCAACCTAACCTAAACTAACCTACCTAACCTACCTACCTACCTACCTACCTGTACCTACCTAACCTACCTAACCTACCTAACCTACCTAACCTACCTAACCCACCTAACCCACCTACCTACCTACCTACCTGCCTGCCTGCCTACCAACCTACCTACCTACCTACACCTATACATGTTTATATATATATATGTATGTATAGACACACCATATGTGTATATATATATATCCCATGTGTATTTATTTGTGCACATCTATATATATATAATATAGATGTATTACCGTATATATATATATATATATGTATATATATACGTATATATCCTACATACATGCGTGTTGTTCTTGTTATTTCTAGGTCTCTTGTTATTTGTAGGTCCTCCAGTAGTGCCCTTCTACCCTTTTTTGGGGGGAGGGACCCCCTACTAAAACAAACTACAGAAGAAAGGGTTCCCTTATTAATCCTCTCCACTGGAGGACCTAGATTTGATCAGTGGCAAGCTGCGATCGCCGCAGGTCGCCCTTGATGTCGCCGGTGTCAGATGCGCTGCCGGAGCTCTTTCTGGGGGCCGCGGGCACGCAGAGCTTCGGAGATCCGAAGAGACCCGCATCGGCTTCGGTTTTCGCCTTCAAGGTCGCTGTTGTTTTTGCCCCCCCCCCCCCCTCCACAAAAGCCACTAAAACAAGGGGTAATTACCCTCAAATTGGTTGGTTTCCTTTTTTGGGTTTCCCTCTAAAACCAACAAGGAAAAGTGCCCCCCCGCCCCGGAAAAGAAAAAAAAAACACCCACCCATTTCGGTCTGGTCCTTTTCCTGTCTTGGCCACTATAGGACTACGATGGTGTTGTTTGGGGGGCGGGCTTGAAGGGGGGTTCCCTGGGGTTAGCTCGTTAAACCTCGGTGATTGAAATACACTGCAGCAATGGATTTGGTGTTTCTGGATGGCTGGCGTTTTAGAGATCTGTTCTGGCAATCCTTGGAACAGCAAACAAGTAGTATTGGAAGATGTGTTTGCAATAGCCTTTTTTTTGTGGGGCGAAGGTTGGCTAATTGTTCCAACCTTGCCTGAGATCCCAGTTAATAAGTCCACTAACTCATTGGATTGTTTTTGTTGCATTTCGCCCACTTAGGGGATTTTTTGCTGGCGATATGAGAAAACCACTTAAAAGGGGTGGAATCTTGGATTTCATGTCAATCAAACAGGTCCAAACACGGCACACATCGTCAATCCAATGTGCGTTTCCAGTCGCCAAAGCAAGGCAACGTTTTGGGTCTGCTTGCAAGACACCTCACAAGGTTACAAGGATGTTAGTCCCCTAATTCAATGTGTGGACCTGAGAAGACCACTTGTGTGTGTGTGTGTGTGTTTTTTTGTTCTTCTTGGGTTTCAATCTGGGTGCCTTCTGGGTGTCGACTTCGTTGGTTGGTTGGTTGGTTGGTTGGTTGGTTGGTTGGTTGGTTGGTTGGCTAACTTGTTACATGTGATGCGAGACCTGAGAAGACCACTTGTTGCGTGTTTTTTTCCTTCTTGGGTTTCAATCGCACGCCCGCCCCGAAGTGGCGACCTAGGAGCGTGGTGTCCCCGACGTTGGGTGATCGGCCCTTCTGCACGGTGTGCCAAGAGACCGTGGACTCCAACCCCAGCGAGTACCAGCTCACCGAGCTGGGCGGAGGCGCAGCCGGGCTCGGTCACCCGGGTTTTTGGAGTTGGTGGGTTGGAGCCAGTGGTTGGTCCTTTTCTAGGTCCAGCGATTGGTGCCCGTTCTCACCCCACTTTTTTTTGGTTGGGAGGGTTCCCCTACTAAAATCGACTACGGAAAAAAGGGTACCCTTATTCTAACCTCTCCACTGGAGGACCCAGCGGTTGTTTTCTTTGGAGGTAGTACCCGTTTTGGGCGGTTTTTAAAGGGAAGCCAAAGGGAAAGCCGGACTTAGTTTGGAGGGTTTAGCCTTAACAACGACGAGCCACCCACATTATCTTGGTTCCATAAACCTTGGGGATCCAATTTGTTGTCGAATGTGAGACAGAGTTCAACCCCGCAACCCTCAACCGGAACCCCCGGGTTTCCTCCCTTATATACTGAGGCACCTTAGTTGGGGGAGACGCTGGGGGTTCCAAGTTCAGGGAAGGGGGGGAGGGGGCGGGGGTGAATCCTATGAACAGGAGTTGTCGCAGTTTTGACTTCCGAAGGGGGGGGGAGGGAACTGTTTTTGCGTGGCCAAGGGAGGGTGTTTGTGTTGTTTGTTCAGTGTTTAGTTGATGGCATGTTATTCGAACCAAGCTGTTTTATGTTATCTTGTTTTATGTTTTGTTGTTTGCAAGTGTGTTTGTTTGATTGTTGTGTGAAGCCACCATTGATATATATATATATATATACATATGTACATAATGTTGGGCATGGGCATGGGTTCAACACTTTGATATCACAGAGAATTGTTTGTTGCCACAACAATGAGCCATTTGGCGTGTTCTTGTTGACCCTGCTGACGCATAGCCGCGCCGCTGGGGCAGAGTTTGTTTAAATCGCCAGACCTCCACCCTTATACTGTGGTCATTGTTTTGACGGTTTTTTGTGGGTAATCAAAGTCAGAATATGTGGCGGTGTCCATTTAATGTTTATCGCCTACCAAAGGGGTGACTTTGAGAGTGGTAACAAGAATAGCCTTGGGCAATCAATGGAGGTTGTCTCCACAATAGGTGTTGCATCAGCAGGGTGAGCCCCACCCCGGTGTTTTAGGGCATTAGTTTGACATCTTTTTAGCTTGGGGTTTTGCAACCACCATTGGGTTGGCGCTGGCCGGTCACTCAATAAGTGCGTAATATCAGTCCCCTAGTTCATTGAATCAGTCGCCCAATTCATTGGGTTGTATTTCTTGCATATCACCCACTTCGGGACTTCTTGCTGCGCATATGAGAAAACCGCTTCTTGAGTGGGGTGGTACTTTGTGTGGTCCCTTGGGTCTCATGTCAATTTGCTGGGGATATGAGAAAACCACTTGAGTGAAATGGTCCCTCATGTCAATCTGGGCACCAACTCCTGGGCACCACTTGGGGTAGGGACCCAGGAGTCCCTTTGACCATCCTCTGCGGGCACACCTTCCACGCGCGTTGCCTCTCTTGCTGGTGCGACACCCGGTGCCCGGTGTGCCGGTTCCAGCAGCATCCCTACCAGACCTCCTCCTGCGACGTGTGCGGCCAGGCGCGAATTGGGCGAATTGGGTGCGTGTTGTGGGGCCGCTTAAGGGCGCCAAGGAATTGGACCGCTATGGTTGGCTGGATGGCTGGCTGGGTAGGTGGTTGGTTGGCTGGCTGGCTGGCTGGTTGGCTGGCTGGCTGGTTGGTTTGTTGGTTGGTTGGGTGGCTGGCTGGCCGGCTGGCTGGCTGGCTGGCTGGTTGGTTGGTTGGAGACACGCCAACAAAAACGGCAAACCCTACATTTGTGCGGTGTTTGAGTGAGTGGGGGGGGGGGGTGGCTGCTTTACAAAATCACTAGCTTGGTAGTTGAAAATCTCCTTCGGGACCACCCCAGAAACAAGGAACAAAGAACTGCGTTTTTCTTCAGGGTGCCCCTTTTGTTGGTTGGTTTGAAGGGAAATCCCAAATCCTGTTTTGGGGTCACCGTAGTTTGACAGACCCCTCCCCTTCGATCGTGGTGAGCACTTTCAACGTCACCTTTGGACCAGTTTCAAAGGAGTTTACTTCTGGCGGGGGTCACGGGCTGTCCTTTTCCTTGGCTGGCTTCAGAAGATGAAGCAAAGTTAAACAAGAAATGGGATGGAAGGGTGAGCTCCAGTGCACATGTTTTCAACGTGTTTTCAACTGCTGACATTACGTTTTACTTATTTACCCCTCTTGGTCTTAAAGGGAATCTATCACTACTGGACTTGTTTTTTTGGTTCCAGGGGGCCTAAGCAAATGCACGTTTTTGGAGGGGGGTCCATTTAAAGTCGACGACCGTGCCCTGGGTTTTGTCCCGTGGCCACGGGGTGGCTGGGTGGCTGGGTGGCTGGCTTGGGCGCTATACGAAAGTCGCGGCGGGGCAAGCACTCGTTCCAACAAAAAGGAGCGTTGGCTCTAAACTCATGTCAGTCTCGCTCCAGTGAATGGTTTGGATGAATGGTTCGGTTTGAAGATAAACCATCAGTTAGAGGAAAGCTGAGCATGGGCCTAGTCCCGGTTTGCTTCTTCCTTGGCCAGCTTGCCCTGGTTGGGATACCATCGGTCACAGAATCAAGATATACCTCGGTACCTGCCAACACGACCGAATTTGCCTTCAATGTTTGGTTCTTCATGCGTGTTTCTAGTTGCCCATGTCTTTTTCGGGTCAGGAAGCTGAATGCAATAGACCAAACAACGTAGAGCAGCCAACAATAAACAGAGCAAGCTTCGCTATTCGGACTCCAATAGGAACCACCTCACAAGTGTGTGGCGGGCATGAATGCCCACTGGATTGTGATGTCCATCCAAGGGCCCAGTCCCAAAGTAAAGTTTGCAGCCATTTTCTCTATTTGAGTGTTTCTAAAAATCGGCTTTGGACCTGAAACCTTGGTATTTAATGGGGAGCCTAAAAAGGGTGCTCCAACCTGCCATCCAGCACTGCCACCGATCCAAAACCTACCAAGTAAGTGACAACCACTGTTTGGTTTGGCGTGTTCCCCCCCCCCAAAAAAAAAAGGAAAAAGAAGAAGACGGTTTTCCGGTTGGTTTCCCTTTAAACGCCACCAAAAAGGGGGGCACCAAGAGCTCCCAGGTATGTGACCACCACCTTCCGCTTTCCGACATAGCTGTCCTTTTTGGTTGTTTTGGTTGACACATAGCATGGCGATTTCTGGTTTCCCTGGTGGTTTCATCATCTAGGGCCATCTATTTCCTCTAAAAGGACACCCGTATCTTAATCCCCACGAAAATAGACTAAAATGGGTGGAAATTCACCTACCCCAAAATGGGATCCAAAACGGTTTTGACAACCACGGCCATGTGACCACCACCTTCCGCTTTCTTTCAACCCAGGACAGCTATGTTTGAACCCCAGCACCGCAAACCACCAACAAGGGGTTACTGACCTGCCACTGCCACCTTGCATTGGACATCGGGAAACCAAAAAACAAACAAAAGCTATGCTTTCCGAGCTCTTTCCTGGTGGTTTCCCTTTAAACCCACCCAAACAGGGGGCACCAAGAGCTCCCATTTTTTTGGGGGGTTTTTGGGTTCCCCCCCAAAAAAGAGACGACAGAAAAAAGAAACGGTATCCTTACTCTAACCTCTCTACTGGAGGACCTAGCCTCTAAACCACCAATCTAAACCATCAGCAGCCTCTTTTCAACCCTTTCAGCCCACCCAAAAAACCGGGGCCCCAAGAGCCCCGGGTATGTGTGACCACCAACCCCTTTCAACCAAAGCGAGCTGCTCAGGCGGAGGGGGTGCACATCTGCCTAGTCTGCGGTGCCATCGGCTGCACCGGGCCGCAGGGCCACGCGCAGCAGCACTTCGAAGCCACCAGCCACGCCTACGCCCTGGACGCGCCCTGGACGCCCTGGACGCGTTTTGTTTTTTTTGTCCATTTGGACGTGTGTTTTGTTTTTGGTTGCGGGGTGTTAAGCTTTGGTGCATGTTGCAGAGGCATATTTGGGCTTTAGCTTTCTGGCAACGAATTGGTTTTCCGTATTAAACCACTAAAAGTTAAACTTTTAGCAGGGGAGCAGAAAGCAGCCGAGATGTGTTTTTGTTCGATTTCGCCACCGCGAAGTCTTGGGGAAGTCACGTTTAGGGGTCTCCTCCAAGACATCTTCCTTGAAACTTGTGGGGATGAGTCAATGAGGGTTCAACCACTTCTGTGATAAAGAATCTCCTCTTCAAATAGAACATCAACCATTGTGGGCTTAGTTCTGAGGGTACCTTTTTTGGGGGGTGCGTCAAAGGCCAGCGCGTAAACACGGCCGTGGCTCTGGCAGCCCCGTCTGCAGCCTTAGCTGGCCAAGCGTCATCACGTGTTTTGGATCTCCGAGCCAAATGTGACCAAGCAGATCCCCCAAAACACGGGGGGGGGGGGGGGCAAAAAGAGAAGGATCGCAATAAAAGCAAAATTATGTTCCTAAACAAGTATTTTAGGGAGACTGAATATGAATCAAAACATATGATTGTCTAGGTTCGCCACAGAGGGGGCTCGGAGCCTTTAATTTAATCAGGGACCCGCCCAAGGGTTTCTAAACTGGCTCCAATCGCTCGTGCCAAAAGGCAATCACGTGCGTAGTATGTTACAGCCCATTGATGGTCACCCGATTTGCAAGATTCTTCTAGCCCAAACCTTTTGTCGGGTTAGGATATCCCGAAATGGCGCACGCAACTACTCCAGTGGCATCTTGCACAGTCCCGACATACCAGTAGTTTCCTCAATGACAGATATTGTTCTTGGTTTCCCTTGGTTTCCCTTCTGGTTGCCATTTGACCCTACCAGGGATGCTGAAGCAATTCCGAAACAGTAGAAAACGCCTGGGAAACGGAAAGTTGGAGTTGGAGGGGATTCTGTTTTTGAGACCCATTTTTGTTGGGGAACCAATGGCATTGCCCAATTTGATGTTTTAACTTTTTTGGGGGCTCGTTTTGGGAAGACGAGTAGAAACGGAAGCCAACCTTGGGGGCATTGGTGTTCTTTCTGGTTTCAATATGCTTGAAGATAGCTGATTGGTGGACAGAACAGTGCTTCCGGGCAAGCCATTACAACAGGTAACCAGGGCAGTACTCCTAGAGGGAACCACACCTGGTTACCTATAGAGGCTTGCCTGGCAGCACTGGGCTTGTTGTTTTAAACTGATCTTTGTCCAAGTACTTGTAGAATTGTCTGGTTTCTCGGGCTTGCTTTTTTTTGTTTCCGGTCTTTGTCGAAGTTCCTGTAGAATTGTTAGACGTGTCTTGGAGTTCTCGCCGATGTGTAGGTGAATACACAGCACGTTTGGGACTATGCGGGCAATGGCTATGTGCACCGCCTTCTCTACAACTCTCAGGCCAGGGACACCAGTGGTGTTTTTTTTTTTTTTATTCTGCGGCCTCTGCATTTGTTTGGTCTTGTTTTGTTCACTTACCTAATTGGTTTGTTGGTGTGATTCGTTGTTTTTGGTTGGCTTGCTTGCTTGCTTGCTTGCTTGCTTGCTTGCTTGCTTGCTTGCTTGCTTGCTTTCTTGCTTGCTTGCTTGCTTGCTTGCTTGCTTGCTTGCTTGCTTGCTCGTTTGCTTGTCCGTGTGTTCGTTCTGTTTTGTTTACCTTGTTGGTTGGCTTTGTTTTTTTTTGCCTTGGATTGTTTCGTCTACCTTGTTGGTTAGTATCTCCTTGTTTTGACATGTTCAAGCGTCTGAGCCATTGACTGGCTCGGAGGAAGCCTCGGTGCTTGGCGCAAGCCAAAGTTACACGTGGCTTGACCCACCCCATCCCCTGCTTAATTCAGGGAAATTTTACTTGGGAAGTGGGTAATAACCATGGCTATAACCCGCAAAAGCCATGACTATAAGTCTCCGTTTAGTGGGTTCTCTCTTCAGGCTTAACCACTTACCTGACGTACCGAATCGATCACCCCCTTAAAACAAAAGAGCACCAAAACAACAAAACACGTCCAAGGTCCACAAGCAAGATCTGCGGAGCGATGGCTGAGGGGTCCTGAAGAGACACCCATCCAGAATATCAGAAACGCATGTGGCTATGAATGTCAAGAGCCTCAGACCGTTTCTCAAAAGTGGTGGGCACAAATCCCCAATGTCCAGCAGAGAGTCAGGGAGCAATTACACCGTATAACCAGATCTTCTGAGCAAAGAATCAGCTGCACATGTCGTCCCAATTTTGGATTTCTTTTTTGGGAAATCCAACCAGATGCTCCTATGCCTTTCCCCCCCCCTTCCCATTTTCCTGAGGTTTTCGGGCCTTACCCCCCCCCCCCCCCCCCGGTATTTTCCCGGGCTTTTTTCCGGCCGACATGCACCCAGGTGTTGGTTTTCTTTCCCGGCGTCCGCCTCGGTTTTTCCCATGCCTTCCCCCCCCCTACCCCATTTTCCTTGGTTTTTCCGCCACAAATCTGCCCATTTGTGGTTTGCCTGTCCCGGCTTCCCCCCCGCTTCTCCCAGCCTCCGCGCTCGGGTTTCGAGGACGGCAAGATGGTGGAGCACTCCGCACCGGAGGAGGGCTTGACGGCGCAGGCGGTCTTCGGGGACCTGCGCTGGGCGGACTGGGCGGACATGGAGGACGACGACTGTGAGAAGGCGCCGAAGGGAGATTTACGCTCCAAAAAACCCAGGGCCAGAATCCTAAGCGTTCAAAAAAGAAAGCAGAGGTTTTGTGTGTGTGTGTGTCTTTTTTTCTCATATATATATATATATATGTTTGATTTTTCCGTTGGTTTTAAAGGGAACCGACTTCACTTCCATTTCCCAATTTGCTCGGGAGACATCAGTTCGGGGGTGAGCTAACTGGCTGGTAGGTAGTAGTTACTGCCAGTTAATTTCCGGCTAGCTTCACGCCTCTCTCAAGCAACAAGCATCTTACACGTCCCAGTGCTTCCGATTGGCGTTTCGTCAACAGAATAGGTAACTTTTTTTCTCTTTTTTTTGAACCGTAGGGTTCGACATCATGATTTCCCTGGTTACCTGCGGTAGTGGCTTGCCTGGAAGCCCTGGGTTTGCTGAAAGGAGCATTTTTCATTTTCGCCGGGGGGTTGCCTGAAAAAAGGACAAGCCCATTTCATGACCAGTTGGTTTAGAGAAGCTAGGTTCGGTCTTCATTTCCAGAATGAGATGTCGTGAATGGTCTATATTTAGGCCTTAGGGTCTTATGAGGCAAAGCTCGGGTTGACTCAGTTGCGAATTCCAGGACTTCCCAGACTTCTGTTTGGAGGCTTACTTCATTGTTTTCAGGGAATCCCTTTGAGGTGTGGGAACGAAGCCTTGGGGATCTGGGGGTCATTCCCTCGTCAGAACCAAGGAAGACATGGGTTGATCCAGACCTCCGGTGTCCGTTTGCTTCTTTTTCCAAATTTCTCTGGTCTGGGTCAGTCCCCCAAAAACTTCCCCTTTCAAAGATATCTTCTTTTGGGCTCTAGTTGAGTTCCCTCAGGTGATCAGCTCTAAAAACCCACTTTCCATCCCAAGCAAGAGTTGCGTCATAACAAGGTTCCGCGTAAGCAAAATCCTGCAAGCCGGCGTAAGCCGGCGTAAGCACTTTTGGGGGAAACATGCTGCGTAAGCACCCGCGTTAGTAAGCATGCTCGGAAGAGTTGTTTCACAACTGTGCTTATGTGCTCATTGGTGGCTTGTGCTGTTTCAACCTAGTCGAGCTTGGCAACTTGCCCGGAGACTTTGGCTGCCGGAAGACGTCCAAGTGCGCACCAGTGGGAAACAAAAGCAGCAGAACTTTGATTGGGAGCTCCTCATGCCAGGTGCTGTTGCCTATGCTAGGACAAACAAAGGCTGCTGAAGCTGAAGATTTAGCAGGGGCTCAGGGCACGCAAGGTTCGCATACGCTCGCCTAGCTCGGCTGCCCGCTAGCCCTCGCCACAGATGCCGCCGCCGCATAAGCCGTTTCTTGGCCTGCAGTAAAAACAACAACGCCAAGCCGCTGAAACTCGTGAGGGTAGTTCTTCGTCGTCTTCCTCAGAGTCATCCACGTCATCTTGAACAGTCCTTGCGGCCGCATTGGACAAGGAGCCAGCGTAAGCACTTCTTGCGGGGAAACGCACAAAACGCCGACGCGTCAGCGATGCGTAAGCTCAACATGCTCGCTGACTGTCGCGTAAGGACGCAAGCTCGCGCGTAAGCAACCTGATACGACATAGGGATTCATCTATAGAGTGGCTCAGGTGATGTTTGTGATGGAACTCAAAAGGAAAACCCTCCCCCAAATGGTTTGATCGAATTTACGTAGGCGATTTGGGGGACAATTGGACACCCTTTGGCAGTCTCGTGAAGGATAGATACATCCTCTACATCAGCTGGTAAGGCTGATTGTTTAACTCTCAGAAATTTATCCTTTACCAGCCGCACAACTACGGCTTGGGAATTTGGACATGGGAAAAAGCAGTTGTGTCGTTTTTGGGGTCAGTCCAAACGGCTGCCTCGGTTTCCGGGCAGATCGCCGCGCTCTTCACCCGAGCGCGGCCCAGCTGAACCCAGCAGCGGGGGGCCGGGAGGAAGTCAGGGGCTCACGCAACCTGAGCTAGTGGATTTTACAAAAACTTGTCGGGGAGACCATTTTAGTCGTCACAAAGGTTTGCACTTTTCTGGCCCGTCCACTCGTTTGGAAGTGCGGGGGACCGACCCCGTATGGGTGCGTCTACGGGACACAACACTGGTCCCTCGGTGTCCCTTCCAAACCTCAAACGAGGTAATGTGTGTGAAAGCAACCCAATGAAGGTCACCCAAGGATTGGGGTCTACCAGGGGTCCCATATTTTCCTCAGCCCGCTTCAACACCTGTAGGCGAGCTTCCTCTGACGTTTCAGGGGAAAGTTTACGGAGCCCTGTATACCAAAAGAGAATTTTCTGGTCCTCAGGTCGGGAGTGTAGGGTGGACTAGGTCAGTTGAAAATTGTTGCGGGATACTTAAGCCGAATCACCTCTTCATCCCAGTGGATCCATTTACCTGCATAGTGGGAAACCATGGGAACCACGACACCTGATAGGGAGGTGCCGTCAAAACCAAAAAAGCAGGCGTGTTGCCTCCCGCAGTTGCTGTGTTCGTGGGAAGGGTGTAAACGCCGCACTCGCGATGGAAAGGGTATGGAACAGTGGGTATGTCACTATGTCACCACAAACAAGCCGCTGGTTATGTTTTCATTTTGTCCGCGGAAGGGTGGGGGTAGTGGAAACCCATCTTGTATGTCAACTTGGTTGGGTTTGCTCGAGGGCTAGCACTCAAGAAAGAACTCAAATGTCGCAAAGGTAAAACTCAGGCAGACGGACTTGCAAAAACAAGATCGCATGCATGTTGTGTCATCTTCAAATGTGCATGTCATGTCAGGTTGTCAAAGATCGCGCTGATCCAAACAGGGATCCATAGTTTTGACAACCCGGGTGTGTTTGTGTTTGTGCATGTGGTCGATTGGATCGAGGGAGAGAGTACCTTCTTCTCAATCCGACTTCCAAGACTCGGGACTTGTTGGGAATACCTTGGGTACTCGCCATGCCTTGGTTTGTTCCGTTATTCAGTCTTTTTCCATAAGCCGTATGCTCAGGCTTGAAAAGAGGGACAGAGCGCCACTTGCTTCTCCCGGCCGGGCGCTTTTGGGGCATGTTACTGGAGGGTTCCGGAGAGGTTTCGGAGCGGGGGGTTGGGAATGGCAGAAGTCTAAACTAGGTCCCCCAGTAGTGCCCTTTTACCAATTCTTTTTTGGGGGAGGGTTCCCCTACTAAGAAAGATTACAAAAAAAAACGGGTACCCTTATTCCAACCTCGCAGAACTGGAGGACCTAGAAAAGTAGAATGGGGCTGTGGGGTGCTTTTTGCGGCAAGTCATGCTCAGATCCTGTGCCCTCAGTCCCAATCACGATTTCGCCCCATCTCTTCCTACATGCTCAGAGAATATGTTGCTCCCTGGAAGCCCCCGAAGCTGCCAATTGAACTTCACTGTTCTTGGCAAGTTCTTTTCTTCTGTTCGTTTTCACTGGCGGGGGGGGGGAAGCTGCAAAACACGCAGTTGTTTGCTACCATACCAGGAGGTGTAGAGTAAACTGAATGTGCAATCTTGCCATGGCCCCCAGTTTTCCGTGAGGCCGGGTGCCGGAAGCTCAACGGACAACACCAAGAAGCAGGAGCGAATGCATCCGGAGCGGAAGTTGATTTTGTGCGAGGAAGACTGAAGTTTAGAGGACCTTTTCAAGTTGTTGTCTCACTTCCTGAGTGTAAACTTTTTGCGAAGGATGTGTTAGCGGTAAATTAACAGTTTGGACTTCGTTCGGCCATTTGCTCGGGCAGTGAGTTGTGTTTGTTTTTGTTCAAGGGGGGGACGTTTGGCCTCCTCTTTTGGATTATATAGTTTTGTTCCATCATGGGTTGAGAGCCACCTAAGTGGGTGACGTCCGCGAATAAATTCATGGCTCAGAAAGCACCAGCTTCTACTTGTACTTCAAAGGGGGACCGGAAACGGGTTGGGTGTCCTTTGATTAGTTGAGTTTCCCCCAGTCCGGGACAATCCTGGCATCCCGGAATTCCGATGAAGGTTCCCTGTAAACCATCCAACCTAGGTTTCCTTTGAGGGAACCCCAGGTTCCCAAAACCCGCAGGTCATTCCCTGAGCACCGGCAAGATGAGAGCGGAAAGAATGGGACGCCGATGCCTTCGGTGTCACAATAGCTGGCAGCTCGAACCGTGCCGCATTCACCAGAGGCACGGAGCCCATGTGGAAGTCGGTTTTTGTGCCGGCATCCAGCCATATATCTTTGATCTCCAGACACTGAGCCGCAATGTGGATGGTGCACACGAATAAACCAGGGCATACTTGCCAACTCTGGCTGAGGAACCCAAATTCCTTATCTTCTGGGGCACAATGAATATTGACCATGGCTCGCCTACCTTGTTTCGCCATGTGGCTCAAATAGAGCAAGATGACTGGTGCAGTTTGGTGCAGTTTGGAGGATGTTGAGTGAGTTCCTCAGCACAGCCCCAAACAAAGACATGCAAACGGTAAGGTGGGTTCAGGCGGCATATGTTTGTTGGTTTTTCTCAAGGGGTCACACCCCACCAACTCCCACCCAAGGCGCCCAACCCAGACCCAAGCTTTCAAGCAAAAGCATCGAAAGCTCATCGAGTTCAGTGGCACATTGAACAAAGCAACGAGTTTGGATCGCAACGTCGGGAAAGATCTGGGGCTGACTTTGATTTCTCCCCGGCAACCCACTCGTTCGTTTCCCCCGTGAGGGCTGTGAACGAGTTTGCCCGGTTTGCCCTACCTGGCCTTGGAGGGCAAAAAAGAGGTGTAGAAACCTTCGGGGAAGCTCTGCTTGGTTCGGGCCCAAAATGGTCCTTCCGTTTAGCATCATTTTCGTGACTTCGACATGAATCCTTGATACTGCCAGAGGCTAAGGATACCTGCAAGGACATCATGGGATGTCGAGTACTGTTGACCCTGGAGAATTCAACCCCAGTTTATTCAACCCCAGTTTATGACTCGGGTGTCAAACCCTCCCCTCCCTACTTTCATAGGAGGGGGTGATTTATCCGGGGCGAACATGATCTGCTTCAAGGAGTCATGAGGCAGCGAGACTTGGGCTAGGGAAGTGGCTGACTTGTGATACAGGTTGCGGGGCAAATGCCCTCACCTCCCCCAAACGAACGGACATAAACACACCATGCACATATAAAAACCAACAATACAAGACTGGACATAACATAAAGAATAATATCATCAATGTACATAGATAAACGATGGCAAGGATGTCCGAGAGGAGAAACCACCAAGGGGTCCCAATTTTGAGTGCCCAGAGCCCGACATGGATTCTAGTGAACTGCCAGTAGCTTTAGAGTTGAACACGGCAAGTGAGGCACAATCCAAACCCGGGGAGAGCAGTCCCAGCCAGAAGCAGGTGCGGCCGCCTTCAACTGTACTTTCATGCATTTGGGTAGACCATTTTAATACCAGGTTTTGATTGCGACTCAAGATGACTCCGGTGAGGCTTGGTTTGTGAAAGACACGCGTGGTTTGTGTGTGTGTTTCCCATGCCCAGGCCCAGTAGGGTAGCAGATTGTGCCGCCTCATATACCCCGCTGCGCTTTTGACAAGCCAGGGCCGAATTGCACTAGTAAAGATGTAGGCTTAGCAGCCACAGTAAGGGTAGTACTTATTGGAATCACAATACACATAGCAGCCTCAGCTGCAATAGTAACCTTAGTAACAATTGTACTCAGAGTAAACAATAACAACCATAGTCAGCATAGTAAGCAAGTCATGGCAAGTATTTGTGGCCATCCCTAGCTCTTGGACTGACGGTCACATACCTTTTGAGTTGGCATCCGGTTCCAGTTGTTCCGTGGTTGTTTTCCTTTGTGCTGGGTAGGTTCGGGACCCGCGTTTGAGGTGGTCAGCCTTCCCAAAAACACGGGTCCCTGCGTGGAAGATCTTGGGAAGTGGTTTTAAGAGTTAAACACCAGTTTCCCTTAAGGGTTGCGGTACATCAGGTAACCCTAAGTTGGTGGCTTGGCTTGGCGGTTTGCAGTTTTCGACCCCTGGTTCCTGTAGGGGGTAAATTGGAAACCATCCCCCAATCCAAACCACCAGTTTGAGGGAAGCTGATTCAGGTTTGTCTCGGGATTTGTAGATCAGCCCTTTCTTGGTGGCTCCCAGCCATCCGGTCCCTAAGCTTTTTAGATCCTTTTTGGAGTTTGGTGGCAGTTTCCGAATTTATCCCACGAACAGTTAATTTGTTTAGCCAGGGGATCTGAGGGCATCCCAGCTTTGGTAGAGCAGCTTGGGTCAGAACGAAACGCGGCAGAGACATCCTCGCCACCAGGAGGCCATTGTCAGCGAGTTCAACAACTTGCTGTCCACTCAGCTGACCGTGCATTCCCCGGCATGGAATCGCACGGGACAGGGGACCCACTTGTTGCGCTCCTTCTGTTAATTTGCAGATGGGTCTTCCCTTTTTACTTGCGCATGTTCTAGAGGGAGTCTTCCCTGTTTTTGCCGGTCTTTTACGCCTTTTGTGCCTTTTCGCGTTCCTTCAAATGCCTATGGGTGAAAATTAGACCACCAGAAAACCGCAGATTTTAGTCCTTGGTTCCATTTCCCAGGGTTCCATTTTGGGCCTTTTGGGTACCCTTTTTTGACCCACACCCAAATTGTGTTCGCTTGCATTCAGTGGCCTTTTGCAGGTCGGATCCGGGCCCAGCCGATTTTTGTCCGGGAAAGGCGGCTGGAGCCATGGGAGAGATGCAGCTGGCGATTTTTTGTCCCGCTTGCTTCAAGCATGAAAGGCTCGGCCGAAGAAAATGGACGAACATTTTGGCATGCTGCGTTAGTTGGGGTTTGGGGCCCCTCCCAACCACAAGGTTGGGCAACCGCTGCTTTCTGAGAGTTGCTGGAGTCAACCATGGACCTCATGAATTTGTGGTTTCGAGACGCCATGTTTGAGCGCCTGGCATTTGCGTTGCCGCAAGTTGAACCAGGGAGATGCGATGCCCTAAGAGTTTGGTTACAACATCCCTCAGATCTCAACCCCAAGGGGGCGGAGCCTCTCGGCTCAGTTTCCGGAGCGGCCGATGCGAAGTCCCTTGGGAATCTTTCGAACGAAGCCACGATCCCACATGAAGCAACCCCGGCTTATTAATAGGGTGGGGGGGTGAATCAGGTGTCCCAATCCCAGCTTATTTTAGTAGGGCGGTGTCCGATTCTGGGTGAAATGTGGAATCAGACTACTTTTGGAGGGGCCAAAAGCCAAAAAACCACCTCCCCTACGAATAAACTGGGATTTATTCATCCGGGGTCAGCATGACTCAACCGTTTTGGATGAGCCCCTGGCTTGCCATCATGCAAGGCGCAGCGGGAACACTTCGATGAGCTTAGGCGCGGCAGTGCTTGCAGTTCCAAAATGGTTTGCTCCCGTTTCGTTCAAGGAGATTCTCCTTCCTGCAAATGGGTGGTTTTCCTGTTCGTGCTTCGTAGAAAAACGCAAAAACGGCGCCCTTTTCGGGGCTCCATGCGAAGGAGGGGAGTGGTGCTCAGATGGTTTGGGCTGATGGTCCAAGACGGGGCATGATGAGTACCATGTTTTCTTCCGCGAAGCAACAATGCCGGACGTAACCTTGCTTTGGTCTATAGGTGATCGCTAAGTGGATCCAAGTGGTTGACACACCATACACGGATCAATGGCTTCAGCTGGGAGATACCTGGACCTTGATGGCCCTCCAAACCCTCGGCTGTCAATTCCTCTAGCCTTATTGGTTTACCATCAAAATCACCCCCCGTGGGTGAAAGGGAAAACCCCAGTTTCTGGGGGACCATGGGGATGCTTTTAAAGAAGGCATTTCAACATGTGAATGTTGGTTGGAATATTAATATGTTTATCCTCTCTATAATATTCTTCGTTCAACAAAACACACTCCAACAACACAACGCATGCCTTTTTGCTCCTCTATTTCCTCAATCCCTTGTGTGTTTTCGCCTGTGCCCGATTTTTGTTGTTCGTTTTTCGGCAAACCCGGGCCCCCCCCCGCCCGAGTTCCCCTCGCGCTCGCGGGTTCCGCTCGCGATGGGCGCCAAGCGGAGGCTGGACATCGAGCAGCAGAACTCCCAGGAGCTCCGGAAGCTGGAGGAGCGGTTTGGATCGATCCGCTGGGGAGATCCGTGTTTTTGTTGGTTGGGAGGGTTGTAGTCTACTAAAATGGACAGAAAAACAAGTTGGTACCCGTATTCTATCCTCGCAAAACTGGAGGACCTTGTCAAGGGTAACCTCTCTACTAAAATGGACTACAGAAGAAAAAAAAACAACACTTGTCAACATGAATATGTTACTTGGCTAGGTTTTGCAGTAATTGGTGCCCTTTCTCACCAACTTTTTTGGTTGGGAGGGTTGTAGTCTACCAAAATAGACCACAGAAAAAGACAAGTTGGTGCCCTTATTCTATCCTTGCAAAACTGGAGGACCTAGTCTTGATCCGCTTGCAAGATCCGTGTCAAAAGCCAGGAGCCGTGCTTACCCCTGATCCGTGGATTTTTGTCCAACTGATTCTAGTCAGTATTCCCCGAATGGGAACTTGGGTTCAGGTATCCCCAAATTGGTGGATTGGATTTGGATTTGGATTTGAACCTCCGGTTCTTGCAGACGGTAAATTTGGGACACCATCCCCAACCAAACCACCAATGAGAGTAAAGCTTATTGTTTCTGGGGTTGCAGAGGGCAACTGAAATGGAACCCCAAATGAGCCTTTGCGGCTGTTTGTCCGAGCGGTTGAAAGAGAAACCAAACGGAGAAGCGCGCCATTTCTGGGTCCAACTTGGAAGAAGACAGACGGCCCCCAACAAAAACATGAGCTAGTTTGTTGGATCTTTGAACTTGTACTTGTTGGTTGACACTTCGTGGATTTTCGATTTCACCCACAAAAAGTTATAACCACTTTGTGCAGAGGGGTCTCGCCAGCAACCAAGTGTTTATGTCCTGCGTGTTGTTGCTTTGCGCCATGTACCTCAAATTGGAACTCGGAAAATGTTGCTGGTTCCAGCATAGTCGGTTTCCTTCGGACCCCGGCCAAGGGGTGGGTTCGCCAAACACGACACACCCACTTTAGCTTACAGTTTGACACCGTTCTTCTTGATCGAAGGGAAAATCCCAAGCCAACCACAAGGCCTTTTGGGCTTTGTTAGTTTTTAGTTGGATCCTCATGTTCCTTTCCAGGTGGTTGGAACATTCCACCTTGCAATTTTGCTCGAGTCTCCGTTTGGGGGTGTCTTTTCTTGATACTTTGGGGTGGGGGGTTAAAAGGGCGACAAAAGGCAAACCGCCCATGTTGTGGTGTCCCTCATTTTGTGTTAGGGTAGGGTGATGGGCTGGGACACTCTTCCACCGAAACCGCCCGTTCAATAGGGATGAGAGTGCGGGTGCAATGAAGGACTGCTTGGGAAAAGGCCAGGTTCCAACGAAACTGCGTGCTTAAATGTACTATTTGTTTGGAAAAAGCCATGGGGCATATATAACCTATGGCTCCATTTCAGGGTGGACGAACATCCATTTGCCACCTATTTTGATGTTCACCAGGGGTTTTCTGGGTTTTGACCAGCCATATAGTCCCAAGAAAAGGCAGGTAACACAAAACAGTCGTCTCCTCAAAAGGGGCTTTGGAGATGAGGCGTTGGACTCTGCCCTCCACTGCGGGTTGACGGGGAGTTTTTTCCTTTTACGACCCGAGAAGGGTCCGGCAAGAAACCGCAAGTCACCCATCGTGTTCTAGGTCCCCCCAGTAGTGCCCTTTTACCATTTCTTTTTTGGGGGAGGGTTCTTATACTAAAATAGACTACAGACGAAAAAAATCGGGTACCCTGATTCTAACCTCTCTACTGGAGGACCTAGTTTTGCGCTGCTTGTCTCTGAGATCACCATTGTTACCTCACTCATTCAGTTCCCGAACTTGGTGCTTGGGAAGACAATTTCGGATGCGAAACGCATGTAAGGTTCACCTCGCATGAATACAACCCCTGCTTATTTAAATGGGCGGTGTCCCCTTGCAGTGGGGACTCCTTCACTTTGGTGGGTGACACACACACACACACACACACACACACACACACACACACACACACACACACACACACACACACACACACACACACACACACACACACACACACACACACACACACACACACACACACACACACACACACACACACACACACACACACACACACACACACACACACACACACACACACACACACACACACACGCACACCCTGAGTTCCGTTTCGGACTTCAAACTTTGTGGGAAGACGGTTTTAGTGGTAAACAAAAAGTGTAGTCACTTTTTTTTGGCCAATCCCCTCGTTCGAAAGTGATTCCAGTTGCATCTTTTGACCAACAGCCATGTTCGTTTTGGACAATCCCCTCTTGTTAGTACTGTGGATGGCCGAAATCCGTTCGCACCACTTTGAAACCAGGGGAAACCAAAACGTTTGGTGGCACTTGGGAATTGAATCAGAAACTAGGGTTTCTGAACGGTGACGCGATTTCTGGATTTAGCGACCATCGACAGGTCTATTAGGTCCATGTACCCGGAAAAGAGTGTTGTGAAGTAGTAGGTTTTCCTGTTTCTTTCTGGCGAAACCTCGGGGAGCAAAAATAAAGCTCTTCTTGCTGCGAAAGGTAGGGAATGAGACATGTTTTTTTATTTTCCCAGGCTTGGTCCTGGTCCCCGAAAGGACAAACCATTTGCGAGATGGGTGTTTTTTTTAGGGACCCTGCCTCTCTCAGAGACCCTGGCACGGGTCAGGGGTCCACTCAGCTTCCATTTGCTCCCCTGTTGGTTTTAAAGGGAATCGATTTCACTACTAGACATATTTGTTGTGTTTTTTTTTCCAGGGGTCTTCACCAAATGGAAGCCAGGGTCCCTTCCATTCCTTTGGCGCATGCTTGGATGTTAAAAAGATCAACTCTTGGCCAAAGAATGGGTTTTCCGTATTAAAGCACTCAAAGTTCTCAACTTTTAGCCGAGGAGCAGGAAGCGACCGAGCCGCGCCGCCTCCCTCGCCATCCGAGCGCCAGGAGGAGCTGAACGGCGCTCAGCTCATGGCCGACGGCGCCCAGCAGCCGGGGACTCGGCCGGGATTTTTGTTTTCCCCGCGCGATTTGTGGCCGCGATGTTTTTTTTTTTTTGTTTGTGTGTGTGTGTTTTTGTCTTTTTCTCGTTTTTTTCCTCGGGGCTCCGAAGCTGCGAAAAAGAAAAGAAGCAAAACATGGGTTGAGGCTTTGTCTTAAAATTAGGGACCCCCAACAAAAAGAAACACATGTTGCTTTTGGGTTTCCCCCTTTCCGACCAAAAAGGGAAGCGGTCCTTTTTTTGGGCTCCGAGGCCGCGAAAAAGGAAAAAAAGACTGGGCCCACTCAGGAAGTGCTGGAAGTGAGGCTGAAACGCGGACCTTGGTTTTGCTTTGGAAGGCAAAACGTGCCAAGTGAGAAGTCTGTTTACTTGTTTCCTGTTTTGAGAATAAACTTATTCACTCCTTTGGGGACTTTACAGGCTGGAAGTGAGGCCCACCAACAAATGGGCGTGTTTTCAGGAGGTATCCTCACTCCCTTGATCCGTTCATGGACCTTTTCAGCGTGTTGGGTTCGAAGACCATGTTAGTGGTAAACCAAAATGTTGGCGAGTTTTTCTGGCCAATCAACTTGGGAAGCGAGGCTTCTTTTGAGCAAGAGGGGGAGGTTCCCTTCTTTTGGCAACCCTCCAATGAAAGCATGAGTATTCTGGAAAAGATGCTCGACAAAAACATATCATATATTATAGACAAATATATATATATATAGAGGTGTCTCTGTTGTGCTGTTTCTGTTGTTTCGGTTGCGCCGGTTGCGGGCATTTGCCCTATGGAAGCCCATAGGGCCCATATCGGTTTCATCACATTACAATGGTTGACTGTTCTTGGTGTGAACCAAGGGGCTTCGCCTGTTTCCGGCGCCTGTCTGCGGCAATGCAACTGGCCTTTGGCGGAGACCGCGTTTTTAGTTCTCGAAACACATGGCGAGGCATATTTAGAAAAATACCCCTTGCAAGCTAGCCACTAGGCTGGCCAATACTGTTGGAGTGTTTTCCGCATGATTGAGATGAAGTTTGTTTGACCCCATTCCATTTCGTTTCTTGGGTAAAGGGAAAGCAGAAGCAGTGCCCAAGTGTCCAAGCATCCTTCCCCCGCTTCCCAAAGCCACCCAACGCAACCCCACACTTCCTGCACCCCCAACAGCCCCAGTAAGCTGCAGAGCCAAGCCGCCCCCCCCCACCTCTTGCCCCCGACCCTTCCCAAAACAAAGCCCCGCGTACGCCCCTTCTCAAACCCACCACCACCTCCCCTTCCGCACTCCTACTCCTTCCCCACTCCTTCCCAAACCCCTTCTGCCCCACCCCCACCTCCGCCACCTCCTCCCCCCCCCACTCCTTCCCCACTCCCCACTCCCCACCCAGCCCTCTACCCCACCCCCGACCCACCTTCATCCCCCTCGGCCCCCCCCCCCAGTCTCAGGCGCCTGGAGACCGTGCGCCAGGAGGCCCAGCACCTGGAGCGCCAAGTCGCGGAGCTCAGCGCGGAGGAGGCCACCGCAGCTCGGCCCAGCGATGCCCAGCACGCGCGCCCGCGCCGAAAGGGGTAGGAGGGTTTCTCACGGCGCCACCAAAACCTGAAGAGTCAGGTTCCGCCATGAAAACCATGGTTGGGTATATTATACATATGAGCCACGGACAAAACACACGAAGACCACTTTATCAAGGCGGGGTACGTTTTTGCATAACACATGCCAAAACCATGCAAAACGATAAGGTCTCCCCCAAAAACGATAACCCTTAGCTAACACACGGCTCTATAATAACCCCTGCAGTTGCAACTTAGCTAGGGTGGGACCCTTGCGTGGCCACCGTAAAACGAGAAGGCGAGTCGCCACTTTCGAGCTGGAGCTGCCAAGGTGTGCTTCGTAAATACGACACTTTGTACTGAGAAGTTGCGATTTTCGAGCTGGAGCTGCGGAAGTGTACTTCGCTTACCAGACTTGTACTACAAAGTTGCGATTTTCGAGCTGGAGATGTGGAAGTGTACTTCGCGTACTAGACTTGCACGACAAAGTTTCGATTTTCGAGCGGGAGCTGCGGAAGTGTACTTCTCGTACTAGACTTGTACTCCAAAGTTGCGATTTTCGAGCTGGAGATGCGGAAGTGTACTTCAAAGTACTAGACTTGTAATACAAAGTTGCGATTTTCGAGCTGGAGATGCGGAAGTGTACTTCGCGTACTAGGATTGCACTACAAAGTTGCGATTTTCGAGCTGGAGCTGCGGAAGTGTACTTCGCGCAAGTGTACTTCGCGTACTAGACTTGTACTACAAAGTTGCGATTTTCGAGCTGGAGCTGCGGAAGTGTACTTCCCGTACTAGACTTGTACTACAAAGTTGCGATTTTCGAGCTGGAGCTGCGGAAGTTTACTTCGCGTACTAGACTTGTACTACAAAGTTGCGACTTTCGAGCTGGAGCTGCGGAAGTGTACTTCGTGTACTAGACTTGTACTACAAAGTTGCGATTTTCGAGCTGGAGCTGCGGAAGTGTACTTCGCGTACTAGACTTGTACTACAAAGTTGCGATTTTCGAGCTGGAGCTGCGGAAGTGTACTTCGCGTACTAGACTTGTACTACAAAGTTGCGACTTTCGAGCTTGCGGAAGTGCTGTACTAGACTTGTACTACAAAGTTGCGATTTTCGAGCTGGAGATGCGGAAGTGTACTTTGTGTACTAGACTTGTACTACAAAGTTGCGATTTTCGAGCTGGAGCTGCGGAAGTGTACTTCGCTTACTAGACTTGTACTACCAAGTTGCGATTTTCGAGCTGGAGCTGCGGAAGTGTATTTCGCGTACTAGACTACAAAGTTGCGATTTTCGAGCGGGAGCTGCGGAAGTGTACTTCGCGTACTAGACTTGTACTACAAAGTTGCGATTTTCGAGCTGGAGATGCGGAAGTGTACTTCGCGTACTAGACTTGTACTACAAAGTTGCGATTTTCGAGCTGGAGCTGCGGAAGTGTACTTCGCGTACTAGACTTGTACTACAACCTGGATCTTCCATTGTTATGTAAATTTCTGCCCCTTCTGGATTTCCGTCACGTTTCCTAAATTGTTGCTCGTTTCGGGAAAATCTGCTCGATCAGAGTTGGCGCAACGCTGGCCTGATAGTTGGACAAGCGGCCAAACTCAAAGAACACATGCAAAAGCAGCAGGGAGATTGCAGGGTAAGGCTCGGGCCTGAACCAATGCGCAGCATCCGGGTCATTTGTTTTGTTTGGTTTCCATCTTGTTTTCGGCGGCCTTGGTTGGGCACACGGCCTGCAAATTTAGAACCGCTCGCTTGGCAATGATTCTTGCAGAATTCTGGCATTGCGCAGCAGCCAACAGGCCAAACTCAACAAACTTGCGCAACAGCTGTTTCACCGAGGAAGCAATCGTACCTGAAAATGGGATTTGCGCTCGGTTGCTGCTTTTTGCGCTCGGGTTGCGGCGATTTGCGCTCGTTTTGCGGCCGTTTCCGCGCGCGCGTTTTCCTCCAAAGCTCACCGAATCGTGTGTGTCATTGACCGAGGACAGGTTGTGCAAATTCATTGATATCAGGCCCTGGAAACAGGCACCCCAATAATGGATCAAGTCATGCAGCCAAACACAGCTGGAATTTAATGTTGATTCAAGGGTCTCCACTAAGTTTAAGAGCTCCCAGCATGATCTCTTCAAACTGGTATCATGCCCTCTATCCGGGTACATGTACTTAGCGTTTTGCCAAGCAACACACTTGGCCAGCTCCCAGCTACATATGCCGGGAAGTTAAATTAGTACGTTTATTAGGATTGCCGCTCGAATCGCTCGAATTGGACAAAAACATTACGAACCCACAAAAACAATGACAACAACCTAAAGGTACAAGAATTTATGTAACGATGGAAGCTCCAGGAAAGTTGCGATTTTCGAGCTGGAGATGCGGAAGTGTACTTCGCGTACTAGACTTGTACTACAAAGTTGCGATTTTCGAGCTGGAGCGCTGTGGAAGTGTACTTCCTGTACTAGACTTGTACTACAAGTTGCGATTTTCGAGCTGGAGCCGCGGAAGTGTACTTTGCGTACTAGAATTGTAGTACAAAGTTGCGACTTTCGAGCTGGAGATGCGGAAGTGTACTTCGCGTACTAGACTTGTACTACAAAGTTGCGATTTTCGAGCTGGAGCTGCGGAAGTGTACTTTGCGTACTAGACTTGTACTACAAAGTTGCGATTTTCGAGCTGGAGATGCGGAAGTGTACTTCGCGTACTAGACTTGTACTACAAAGTTGCGATTTTCGAGCTGGAGCTGCGGAAGTGTACTTCGCGTACTAGACTTGTACTACAAAGTTGCGATTTTCGAGCTGGAGCTGCGGAAGTGTACTTCGCGTACTAGACTTGTACTACAAAGTTGCGATTTTCGAGCGGGAGCTGCGGAAGTGTACTTTGCGTACTAGACTTGTACTACAAAGTTTCGATTTTCGAGCTGGAGATGCGGAAGTGTACTTCGCTTACAGACTTGTACTACAAAGTTGCGATTTTCGAGCTGGAGATGCGGAAGTGTACTTCGCGTACTAGACTTGTACTACAAAGTTGCGACTTTCGAGCTGGAGCTGCGGAAGTGTACTTCGTGTACTAGACTTGTGCTACAAAGTTGCGATTTTCGAGCTGGAGTTCCGGATGTGTACTTCGCGTACTAGACTTGTACTACAAAGTTGCGATTTTCGAGCTGGAGATGCGGAAGTGTACTTCTCGTACTAGACTTGTACTACAAAGTTGCGATGTTCGAGCCGGATCTGCCAAAGTTCGAAAACACTGTAAAACGATAAGGTCTCCCCCAAAAACGATAACGTTCAAAAAAGTACTAGGGCCAAGTAAAGTGTTTCGTCCGCTCCTCATATATAAATATATATATATATTTTTTGTATATATACATATATATATAGGCATATATGACCACCCTGGAGTTTCATGTCCTCCAATCTGGGGTTCCGTTACCGTGCAAATCCAGTTGCGTTTAAAGGGAATATCATGTATAAGTGCCCCATTGGTTTTCAAGGGAGTCGATTTCACTACTGGAAATATGTTTTTTTTGAGGGGACTCAAGCGGATGGAAGCATGAAAACAACGGGTTTTAATCTTACCACCATTAAGGAGTTTTATCATCCCTTTTTGGACGAAATAAAACCCGCGTAACCCCTAGCCAAAAGGAACCCTGGTACATAAAAAGGTGGACGAAAGAAAACCTGCGTAACCCCTTGGGCCACTCGCTTGTTTTGGCTGAAGTGCCCTTTTAAACATGATTGTGGCTCAAAAATGGGGGTCTTGGTAAATAGAAAGATGGGCTATAAAACCTGCGTGACTCTAGCCACTAAATCGAAAGGTGGGCGAAATCCAGCGCCACCCCTAAGCGAGCCTCGCCCCGTTTTGGGTCGACGCTGACGGATCGATCGCGGCGGAAGTGCCGAGGCCCAGCGCCAGCGGAGCCAACTGGAGGCGCTGAACCGGCGCTTGGGCGCCGAGCAGAAGGCCTTCGAGGCGATCGACCACAGCGGGGGGTAACGAGTTGACCCCATTTGATAGTAGGTAACCAAAAAGCACCAAGGCAGCACCTTTTTTTGTGGGGTCCCATATGAACCTTCAAGCAACTCTGGGCTTAGTTTCATACTGCGTTCAATTCTGGGTATTGTGGGGAACCATCGCTTTTGGAGGGGGAAGGAAGGGAGAAGGGGACGATGAAGGCTGATTGTCGAGGAAGAACGACCAAACCAACATCGGCCCAAATCAGGGGTACACAAGAAATGTGTGTTCATATTTGGGTCCATATTCAGTCCCCCCTAAAACATAAACTCACTTAGAAAAGAGACTATTCCGGGACTCCTCCAAACCGTTTTTGTCCCAACCAAGCAAGCAAGCAATCAAGAAACCGACCCAATCAACCTATAAGGGGGAAGGGGAATGTGGGGTGACAAAAGACACAGGTCGAATGTGGGGGTCAACATTAGGTAGGTTTAAATCATTCGACCTGTGTCTTTTGTCACCCCACATTCCCCTTCCCCCTTATAGGTTGATTGGGTCGGTTTCTCGATATCTTGCTTGCTTGGTTGGGACAAAAGCGGTTTGGAGGAGTCCGGAATAGTCTCTTTTCTAAGTGAGTTTATGTTTTAGGGCAGACTGAATATGGACCCGAATATGAACATATATTTCATTTGTACCCCTGATTTGGGCCGATGTTGGCTTGGTCGTTCTTCCTGTTTGTGTTATGGTAAGCCTTCGTCGTCTCCTTCTCCCTTCCGCTTCCCCCTCCCTCCTCTTCCCCCTCCTTCGCCTTCCCCCTCCTTCCCCCTCCCTTCCCCTCCCCTCCCCATGTTGTGGACGGGGCACCCCAAATCGACCCCTTCTGCCGTGCCAGGAGAAGCAAACGGGCGCGGAGGAAATGAAGAGAAGGCGTCAGCAGCGCGACCGCCGGGAACCCCGCAGTTCGGGGAACACGAATTCGGGCTCCCAAAAGGAACGTGCGGGGGTGGGGGGTGAGGGAGAGAAAATCTTTGGGACTAAGTTTGAATGGTGCCGAACCCTTTCCAGAAAATTCGGCAACCCAGGATCAAACCATCCCCCCGCCACCTCCTTTGGTGGATCCTTTTACCTCACGAGAACCCAGGATTAGGGTATTGGGAACCAGGATGAATTACTGATTGGCATGGAACCCATCCGGCACCCGGGTCCCAACAACTGTGTTTTTTGTTTTCCTCCCATGTCCAAAGGGCTGGATATAATCATTCTGTTTTGAAAAATCCGGAGGGGACTCCCTTTCTGGGTCTCCCCGATTTGCAGATGTGCGAATTTACTCATGAACAAAGCAGGGTCACCCAAGGCACGTTCCCTGAGGGATTCAGGGAGCTGTCCGGGTCACCATTTCCGCCAGGAAGTGGGGGTGCGACCATGAGCTTTTTGTGTCAGGTTGTTGAAAGATTTATAGGGCCGGTGAAGGGTGGGTGTAGGGTTGGTTTGGGGTTAGGGTGGGTGTAGGATTGGTTTAGGGTGGGTTAAGGGTTGGTTTAGAAGGGGTTACTTGGTGGCTCCCAGCCATCCAATTCCTTAGCTTTTTAGCCTTTTAGTGTAAAGTGGTAGTTTCTATTGAACCCAATAAACGTTAAACTTTTAGCGGGGGATTTGAGGGCAGGGGTTGGTTTGGAGTTGGTTTAGGGTTGGGTTAGGGTTGGTTAGGTTGTTGTGCCGAATGTCGGATGTGGTAGGGCAAAGTGAGGATGGCAGGTGCACGAATTGGAGACTGGAACTCCGTTTGCTCCACTTCTCCCTTTTGGGGAAGACAAAGAACTGAGGCCAACCCCCCACCCTCCTCTCATCTCTGTGAAGCACGCAGTTTCTGTGGCATGCATTTCCCCATATCCAGAGTTGGTTTCCTCGTCACACGACACCTGTCAGGAAAGTTGGCAAGGTGGCAAACCGCTCTGGGACATGCTGGGACTTCCTGCAGACGTGTTTTCTTGGTGGCTCCCAGCCATCCGGTTCGATAGCTTTTTAGATCCTTTTAGTGCTTAGTGGTGGTTTCCATTTGACCCACCAAAAGTTAAACTTTTAGCAGGGGATCTGAGGGCAGCCCAGTTGTGTATTTGGAAGATAGGTCAGCAAATTGTCCTCTCGACAATCCACAGAACTAGACGATCGGACAGGTGTAGAAGACGAAGGCCACCTCTTGAAAAGGCAGCAACATGCCCACTTTCCCGATATTTGGAGGAAGGGCGAGCTTTCTTTGCAGGCGACCTTTCTTCCCAAGGAAGTTGATGATGATGATGATGATGATGATGACGATGATGACGATGACGATGATGATGATGATGATGATGATGATGATGATGATGATGATGATGATGATGAGGTGACCCAACCTGACTCAGGGTTGAGGGACACAACAAGTCAGAAACGAACACGGCGCCAGAGGCCTTCTGGGCACACGTGGGAAGACAATCCTACCTTCTAGGTCCCCCGGCGTGCCAACTTTTACCATTTCTTTTTTTGGGTTTGTGAGTTTCCCTACTAAAATAGACTACAGAACAGAATTCGGGTACCCTCATTCTAACCTCTCTACAGGAGGACCTAGCCATACCCAAGGAAGCTTGTTTCCTTTGGATTTCCCCACCCGAGGCGGGGGAATTCCCCGGTGCGAACGACAGGAAATCGGGGCCATGGGCGGGAGCGAGCTGAGGTCAGGTCGCAGAGCTGCAGCAAGAGATCAGAGACCTGGAGCTCTTCCTGCAGATGAGGCGCGCGCGCAATCTCCGAAATGGCTTCCATTTGGTTAAGATAATATTTATGTTTTTCCCTTGTTGGTTTTGAAGGGAATCTATCACTACTGGACTTTTTTTTCCAGGGGACTTGAGCAAATGGAGGCTGGATGGCGATGGGTTTTGCAGGGTGCCAAGGGGTGGCCCAAGGTGAACATGTTTCTAGGGGTTGATTCCTTTTTCATTCTTTTCAGCCATGGTTCTTTTCAAAAACCAGCTGTTTCCAACCTGGGTTTTTGGTGGTTTCCTGAAAAGAAGGATCCCTGGAAAGAATGGGGAAGGTACCCTAGAATTTTCACAGAAAGTGCACGGAGAAAATGGAATTGTGGCAAGCGGACCAACTGGGTACACGAGCATTGGTAGTAAACCATTGACAATCAGTCTCTCATAACCCGCTTCGATTGATAAAAGGCGTCCCTCCTAGCCAAAAAGCTGGGGAGAAGCATGTTTCATTAAGAGTTCCCTGTTCCAGATGTGGGCTGCCAACATCCTGTGCTTGTTCACTGTGTAGGTTTCTCTAGTGAGTTGAGCAGCCAAGCAACTTCTTCCAGAACGCTGTTTTCAAGCACTGGGTTGAAATGGAACCGCAACCTGTCGCTCTTTGAAAAGGGCAAAGGTTCCCATAGTGCGACTGGAGGAGAGGTCGGTGAGAGAAATCGCTGTTTTTGTATTGGCGTTCTCTATTTTAGAACTGGGAAGGCCAGGAGTTTGGAAAAACAAAGATAACATTTCAGGCTCCATAGATAACCAGTGCCTTCACGTTTTCCAGGGTGGGACGAGGTCACCCTGGATTCAGATCTCTTACTTTTCTGGGAAGATACTATCCAGCACAGGCACTGTTAAGAGCAAATCTGGCCGATGTGCATAGGTTGCACATGTTGCATCTCATGTTCTTCTTGTTTTTGTGGATTGCTATGCTCAGGGAGTTTGCAAGGCAAGTAAGAAACATCCAACGGAATCGGGGATTCCCTTGTTCCGTACACTGGATATGTTGTTTTTTCCCCCTGAGGGTAGAGGAAAAGCAAAAGACAAACCACCATCTTAGTGGGTCTCCTAAAAAACAACACCGTGAAGCCTCACGAGTCGCGCACCTGAACACGTCAAACGCGTGATGGCAGCTGAAGATGTAGTGAGAACCCATGGATTAATAAACCCCTGGGCAGAAAGAACTCCTTCCCGGACTGAAATCTTGAGCAAAACCAATGTTTCAGTTTCTTTGGTCTGGCAAACATTTGTTTTCTTCTGCCAAACTCTCTTTTTGGCGTCTCCCCACAAATGGGAAGGTGCAAAACCTTGGTGGCTCCCAGACATCCCCTGAGCTTTTTAGCCTTTTGAGGTTTACTGGTAGTTTCCATTCAAGCCACTAAAGGTAACACTTTTAGCGGGGGATCTGAAAACGGGCAGCCCAGAAAACAGCTCCATGTTCTGCTGGAGTCAACTCCCCTGAGCTGCAAAACGCAGAGGCGCCGCTGCGAGAACGCCGACGGTGCGGAGATGCAGGGCGCGCACTTGCTGGCGGGGACGGAAACAGCGGGGAGAGAGTCTAGGTGGCCCAGCTGGGTGCCCTTTTACCCTTTTTGTTGTGAGGCTTCCCTTATTCTTTGGTCCTCTCTACTGAGGGTTCCACTTTCTGACCCCAGGGTAGACTTAACCCCAATGCTTCGTTACCCCTAAAAGGGGAAGCCCTGGGTTTAAGTCTATCTTGGGGCAGTCAAAAAGTGGAACCCTGACTCCAAGTGCTTGGCAAGCCACGATACTTTGGTGCATTTTGCTTGGATCTTAGGACTTTTAACCTTTTGCCAACTAATGGGTTTTCCATTAAGCCACTAAAAGCTAAACTTTTAGCAGGGGAGCAGAAAGCAACCGAAGATAGGTAACCAGGGAAACCCATGATGTAACTTGGCGAATATCAGCTGTCCCCTTTGGTTTTTTGATTTTAGGTTTTTAGGGTTTTGTGGCGGTTTCCATTTAGCCCACTGAAAGTTAAACTTTTAGCAGGAGATCCGACAACCCAGGTGAAACCTAGAGGTAGCGACTCATACCGAATGGTTTCCCATTTTGGCGACACGCCTTGAAGCACTCCAGAGCTGATAGCCAATTGATGTCTAGAATGAGAATCATTTAGTATTAATTACTTAACTCATTTCTATTTTATATAAGTCAACTATTCGGGACATAGAGCAGCAGAACTAGGTGTGTGTTTTTTCCACAAAAGTCAGGGGGCCGGCCCTACCCAATTTTCCCACATTCCTTTTTGAACAAGGTATATAGTCCCCGTGCCTGTGGGGTTTACGCGCTTCCGGACTTGATTGGCCTCCACTGGCCCATTTACCTGCATAGCTGGTAACCAAGGAACCCGACCTAAAAATCACCAGGACAATTGTTGGCTACCTATAAAGGTCCACTGGGTGGATGGTTGGGAGGACATGGGTCCCTTGGCCTTTTGCTTCCTTTGCTCCATTCAGGCCATTCGGAAGCCATTCGGGCCCCAACCATTCAGATCGTTTGTAGACAAAATTCCAAAAAAAAGGTGGGTTTGGTCGGCTCCCCCAATCAACGCCCTCGTTGCCAAGTTTGGGCGTGGTGGCCGGCTCCCCCAATCAACGTCCTCGTTGCCAAGTTTGGGCCTGAAAAAAGAAACGGTACCCTTATTCTATCTCCCTACTGGAGGACCTAGAAAAGAAAAAAAACCAAACCCCTCTCCCCCCCCCCCCGCCGCCTGCTTCACCGATCCAGGTCACGGAAAGCGACCGGAGGACGCGCAGAGCCCGTCGCCGCTGAAGCGAAAAGCGTCGAGGGCTGTGCGCGCGCTGGCCTTTTGCTTCCTTTGCTCCATTCAGGCCATTCGGAAGCCATTCGGGCCCCAACCATTCAGATCGTTTGTAGACAAAATTCCAAAAAAAAGGTGGGTTTGGTCGGCTCCCCCAATCAACGCCCTCGTTGCCAAGTTTGGGCGTGGTGGCCGGCTCCCCCAATCAACGTCCTCGTTGCCAAGTTTGGGCCTGAAAAAAGAAACGGTACCCTTATTCTATCTCCCTACTGGAGGACCTAGAAAAGAAAAAAAACCAAACCCCTCTCCCCCCCCCCCCGCCGCCTGCTTCACCGATCCAGGTCACGGAAAGCGACCGGAGGACGCGCAGAGCCCGTCGCCGCTGAAGCGAAAAGCGTCGAGGGCTGTGCGCGCGCTGGAGGGGGGGGGGGGTGGGTTGGGCGGTGGGGTGGGGTGCGGGGTGGGGGTGGGGTGGGGTGTGGGGTGGGGTGGGGTGGGGTGGGGTGTGGGTGGGGTGCGGTGGGGTGGGGTGGGGTGGGGGGGGTGGGGTGGGGTGGGGTGGGGTGGGGTGGGGTGGGGTGGGGTGGGGTGGGGTGGGGTGGGGTGGGGTGGGGTGGGGTGGGGTGGGGTGGGGTGGGGTGGGGTGGGGTGGGGTGGGGTGGGGTGGGGTGGGGTGGGGTGGGGTGGGGTGGGGTGGGGTGGGGTGGGGTGGGGTGGGGTGGGGTGGGGTGGGGTGGGGTGGGGTGGGGTGGGGTGGGGTGGGGTGGGGTGGGGTGGGGTGGGGTGGGGTGGGGTGGGGTCTGTCAATTATTTACTCAGCCAATTCAGATCAATCCCCAGGTTCGCCAATTCGCTTGTTCATATTTTTCTCAGTGGATTCATTCATCAGGTTGCTAGATGCTCAGAACTCAGCAAAATCCAACGTGTTGCAACCTAGCTTGGCGAAGCAGTCGTTCTACGCAGTGGATGAACAGAGGGTTACAACTCCCTCAAGTAGACTGGGTCTCTTCGAAAGGGATGCCCCCCCCGGACCCAAGCGATGTCTTGGGTCTGCAAAATACATTTTTTCCTTTGAGGCTACCCTTTCCGTGGTCTTCTAGAATGGAACCCGAAGAATTTCTCTGTTTGTTTTTGGGGGGGCCTTTATATGTGAGAGAAGTGAGCGCCGAACACCGCAGTTGGTTTGGGCGAATATGGTCAGTCAGTTGGACAAAATGATCCAGGTGTTGATACCGAACAAAGGTGGGTGGCTGGAAACGGGCCACCAGTCAGACAAACCTTGGTGGCGCTTCGCCAGCCATCCGGTTCCTTAGGTTTTTAGATCCCTTTAGTGGTTTTCGTGGTAGCTTCCGAATTCCACCCACTCAAAGTTCTCATCCTTCAGATCAGACATCGGGCCGCCCAGATTTTCTTTTCCTTCGAGTCCGGGGGGCGACTCGGGCTGTGCCAGGTGCTGCAGTTCATGCCCTTGAGCAACGTGACGCACCTGCTGGAGGATCACTTGGCCTCCATGAGGCTATCAGGGGGGGAGGGGGGAGGGGGGAAACGGGAACACAGGGCGAGGCAAAGACACAAATTGGCTCCCAAAGGGGAAGGCTCGAATAGACCGGAGCTGTGCTTGGTGCGTGTGAGTGTGTGTTTGGGGGTGGGAGGAGCAGTTTTGTATTAGAGTGAGATTATTATGTTTTCGGTTTCCGAAAGGGAACACTTACCGACCGAACATGGAACCGGTAGCCGGAGAAAGGATCCCGAGAGGAAAACATTAACCAAGGCTGAGATGAGTAATCTAGGGTGCCCCTACTCAAATAGACTACAGACTACAGAAAAAAAGGGTACCCTTATTCCACCCTCTCTACTGGAGGACCTAGTAATTGATGGTATGAGACGTAGTCTGTTGCTGGCTTGGGAGGACGAGAAGGCGACTTTTGCCCTTTTTTCCGGGGCTTAGAGGGTGTGCAGGGAAAGTGTTTCTGGCTTGCCCATTCCAGGCGTTTCGCAATTAAAGTATGTAAACAGGGGTGTCCCTGTTATGTAAAACCCACAGGTTAACATATTTGGTTACGTACTATAGTGGTAGCTGGAAACATCTGGGGTCAACATGAATTAGGTCCCCCAGTAGTGCCCTTTCTCACCAACTTTTTTGGTTGGGAGGGTTCCCCAAAATAGACGTCCAGAAAAAGTGGGTAGCCTTATTCTCGCCTCTCTACTGGAGGACCTAGACAGTCATCTTCCGTTGGTTTTCGGGCTGGCCACTGCCGGCGCGCCAAGATGGCCCAGCGGCAGACAATTTCGGGAGCTGCCCGGGCGGGGAACCCTCGGTGCAACGAGAGCTTCACAAATGACACAACGTTATATATATATATATAGATAAGGTCCCCAGTAGTGCCCTTTCTCACCATTTCTTTTTTGGGGGAGGGTGCCCCTAAAATGGTTAAAATGGACAGGAAAAAGATGGGGTACCCTTCTAACCTCACTGGAGGACCGAAAGCACTTTAAAGACTTGAGACCATGCTAGTGGCAAACAAAGAGTTCAGATTTGTTGCCACTCTGGAAGTGAAAGGTTGGTCCAAAGGGGGTACCAAGAAAAAGCACCATCTTGAGGGTTCCCTCATTTTGAGACACCACGTGGTCGTGGCCCAGGTGAGTGATTCGGGAAAGCCCGTAAACATGAAAATAGTTGAACCTGTCTGGGCTTAAATTCTCACGGGGTCACTATTTTTGTCACGCCACCTAGAACGGTGTCTTTTTGCGGTCGGATTAATGTAATTTGCCCAGATAGTCACAGCGGTACTGGGGATGGGCAAAATCCTGCACCAGCTAAGAGGCGCTGGAATGATCCGATTCCCCAATGTGAATACCAACAATGTAAATGGCTGTGGGTTTTAAACCAATGGTACCATTTTGGGGTAGGTGAATTCACCACCCATTTTACGTTAACATTTTAGTGGTTGGATTGGTTGATGTTCACGGGCTAACCGACTTGGGTTTTGAAAAGCGCATGGCCAAATGGTTTCAACCAATTCCAAGTGGTGCCAGTGGTGCGAAGGGATTTCGCAACCATTCACAGTCTCACGGACAGGACCGCCTCCTCCTCGCCGGACCTGCTGAAGGCGAGATGAGTGAGCCCAGCTGTGTGGGGGTCAGTGTGGGCAAACTAGCTTCCCGGTTTTTTCAGTGGTGCATTTCTTTTTTGGTGGGGAGATTCGGTTCCCCTAGAATAGACAAAGCAGAAAAAGGGGCACTATTCCAACCTCTCTACTGGAGGACTTAAAGGAAGGAACTCATGGCTGCCAGAAGAAGACATTATTTTTGGTAACTTTCATTTCCATTCGTGGGATCCGAATCTTTCTAGAACGATGGCTGGAAAGAATGGTTGGAATCGACCCCTAGAACTTTGGTGAATGCTTAGCTGCACGACGTTACTTGAGCTGGCATGCGCATTTGTGGGATAGGCGGCTCAGGTTGCACGGTGTGTTTTTCAGACTTAGCACAGTGCAGCAGGAGTGCAACACGCAACCGGGCAAACGAACCGAACACAGGCATGTGGCACGCCCAAAGTATGATGTCCGCAGCAAATGTGAAGGCGTGGGTGTATCAGTTTTAGGCGTCCCCCTTGCTTTCCCGTTGGTTTCCCTTCAAAACCACAAAACACAGGTACCCTCACAAAGAGACACCCCCCAAATGGCAGCTTGGTTTAGATCTGTTTTTGTTAGGGGGGTTAAGGTGCCCAAGTCGATCCCGGTATTGGGTCCCGGGACCACTGCAGCAGTCTGTTGCATTATTGGAAGCCAATCGGGTTCAGTCATAGCCTACTTTTAAGTGTTTGTTGAATGGAGGTGATTTTCTCATCGGCAAGTTGCAACAAGTGCTACCGATTTCGGCCCAGCAATATGTTTTTTCCTTACAGTGCAGAGATTTGTTGCAGGACCTGTTGCGTGTGTCAAGCCATGTGACGGTCGCGTGCTTTGTTCAAGGAATCCAGCGAATTTGGCAATGTTTTTGCACCTCGCATGCACCTGACGTCATTTGGTGAAATGACTTGGGCCCTGTGTTCAGGTAGATGTTGACCATGCGGACTGCTTATTCATGGAAGAGGCCGGCTGATGTGTGGGACTTGTGCTGATCGCATGCAAGATGTGAGGAACTGAGCCATCATACTGTTGTGGCTTGTGCGGACAGTTCTCACAGGATGCTGGACAGTACTTTTTTGAGTGTAACGTGTGTAGTGGGGTTTGTGCGCATCGTTCTTCGATTCAACCAAGAAGGAAAGAAGGACACGTGGCGCTTGGTGCGCCCGCTTTTTTTTAAAGCCCGGATCATACACAGGTGAATGAGGTGGCAAGCCAGGTGTGTCGGTTGGCTTGAAGTGCCACTCCACCTCGCTTGCGCAAACTCATCCACTACACACTGAGACAAGTTTAGACTACTGTTTGAAGTTGTCATATAACCAGAAAAAATGATCATGTCCTAAAGGTGCGAAAATTTGGCTACCAACTATAGCTCATGGGGGCTGGGGGGGAGGGAGGAGGGGGGAGGGAGCCCAAATAAGCCCTTAATAAGCCCTTAATAAGGCCTTCTTTTAGGGCTTATTTGGGCTCCCTCCCCCTCCCCTCCCTCCTAGCTGGAAGCACTGGGTAGATGATTGAGAGACGGATGGCTGCGCTTTCGAGGCCTTGCGCGTGATCAAGCCCAAGGTGATCCACGTCGAGTACATGCCGCAGGCCCGGCACAGCGCAATCAGATTCATCTCGACCGAAGCTGCTCCCTTCCAGCAGTTTTGGCCAGAAAAACTCGGGCCCCCAGCTAGGTGGTGCCCTTTTACCATTTCTTTTTTGGTTGGGAGGGTTCCCCTACTAAAATAGACTGCAGAAAAAAAGGGTACCCTTACCCTTATTCTAACCTCTCTACTGGAGGACCTAGAGAAAGACCCAGTTCTTCCGATGGGTGTTTCGCCACTATAGTACCCAGTGCTTCCAGTTACCTCCATGTGCGGAACCAGCTTGGTGACCTGCCATATTGGCAACAGACTGCTGGTTCCAGGAACCACAAAAGAAGGGCCCGAAACCGTGAAATTGGGGGTTTACTTGGCTACTCTGAAAATGAACATGGGATCTGTCCACTTTTGGCCGGGCCTCCCCAAAAATCGCCGAAAACACCCACAACGCCACACACAATCACCAAACCGGAGCAGATTTCGAGGCGCCGCCACCCATGGAGTATATCCAGCACTACCAGAACACCCTGCTGCAGGCGCGTTCCGCGAGGATCTCAAAGCCAAAGGTGGTGAAGCAGGAGACTAGGTTCCCCAGTAGTGCCCTTTCTCCCCAACTTTTTTAGGGGAGGGTTCCCCTACTAAATTAGACTAGGTATACAGAAACGGGTTCCCTTATTCTAACCTCTCTACTGGAGGACCCAGGAAAAAGTCTGCAAGTCTCACTAGCGAATCAAACTGAAATCACATTTTGGGCTCAAGCCTTCTTGGTTTTCCGTGTGAAAAGGCTCCCAAAGGTGATCACCTTCCATTCCTGGGTAGGGTAACCGAGTTATTCAATTTGGATAATTCCATTGGGACCCGATGTTCGGAATCGAGCTTGGATTTGATGGACCTCAGCCCTGAAGCAATCCCTATGACCACGTTGCGCCCTGAAAAGCCAAGCCTTGGAACCCCCCTCAAAAGTTGGCGGACAATCACCCAAGTTTACAGTCCGAGGGGTCCGTACCCTCACTCGGACCAATCGGAGGGTGGGGCATGCATGTTTCAGGTGGCTCTAAAACACGTGATTTGCCAAAACATATCTACGTCTATGTCTCTTTATGTGGTGTATATATATATAGATGGGTGTATATATATATATATATACGCGTGTATCTACTTATATGTATAAAGTATATTTTGAGGAATCTCCCTTTGGGAGCCCCATGTGTTCTAGGGAGCCCCATGTTCGGGTTCTATTAGCTAATTTGCAGGGCTATCCCAAAAGTAATTGCCCTCCCGCAGACTAAGATCATTCTTGGCTGGGACTTCTCCCTGAAAAACAAATTTTCCTCTAGCCGAGCCTCTAGCGGGTCCAAAGTGGGGGCGAAAGCGGAATCTCAACTATGAACATCGGGCCCACAGATCAGGTAGTTTCAATCGGAGATCCATTGCACGAGTTGCAAAACGGTTTTACGTCTGATGGCTGCTATCGGCCCGGTACCATAGGTGGTGTGTCTTTTTTAGGGGACCCCCCAAAATTGTAATTTGCCTTTTGGGTGTTTCCTTAAATCCCAGCAACAAGTGTCGTCTCTTGTTTTCAGGGTTTTCAGAGTCAATTGGATGGTGGAGTTACCTTCACGGGTTTTACATCGGGGCTGGGGGTGCATACCATCTTACTAAGTGGTTACCGAAGATCCTCAAAATTGGGCTTCCATGCTGGCTTAAGAGGAAACCATCTCCACAACCGATGTTGAGAGCACTAGGCAACCAATTCACTTGAATGTGTCCTCTACCACTTAGCATTTACGATTGGCAACATCCCTGACGTCAGAGCCTCACCCCGCACCCTCAAAATCCCCCTCTCCCCACCGCCGAAATCCCACCCCAAGACCAACAACCCTTGCACCGTCCACCTCCAACTCCACCCCCCCTCCCAACCCCTCCGCGCTCGGAAGCCTGGAAGCCCGGAAGCGGCGCAGGTGGAGCTGAACGAACGCGCGGAGCCGCTGCTGCTGAAGGATCGGCTTTGGAAGCCCTCCGCGCAGCACGGGGCCTTGGTCGGGCTGGGGAGTGGGGTGACGCGGCTTGCGACGTCTCCCAAATGGCCTCGCGTCGGCATCAGTTCTTCCTTGAGGTTTTCCTGCAACACCACCAAAAAAGGGCTACAGCGCCTAAAAAAAGGAGCCAATCTCCAGCTTCACGAAGCATGGCTGCGAATCACACGAGCCACAATCAAAACCCGGGTAGATAAAGGTTAGTAAGGGGCAGTCCCAGCCAGAAATAGTTGCGGCCGCCTTCTTAGTTCTTTACATGGTTCTGGGTAGACCACTTTAATACCGGGTTTTGATTGTGACTCACATGGTTGCAACATGGCTGCGCAAAATCTGAGGTAAGGTTTTGGTTGGTGCCATGCCGTTCCAATCGTGGACAGGGCGGTCCAAAAAAGGGAGCAGCTTGCCCACACCTTCCGGATCGATCAGGTTTTTTGTTCATGGGATCGGCCAGGCAAACAAATCCCTATGAAACGAACTGGAGAGTCAGATTTGTGCATTGATACTTATACCTGAGTCTTCCTAAGTCTGTTTTTTTGTTTCTGCCTTTCCATGGAAAACTGCTTTTCTGGGAAGGTCACCATTCTCCACTGCGGGTGTTCTAGGTATGAATTTTAACTGAGGACGGGGTGGTCATCACAATTCGGTTGGGATTCATGTCGGTGAAGTGTTTAGCCTAGGTCCTATGAAAGTTCATGGCAGGACACTTGCCGAAACTTTTTGAGGTAGACTTGCCAGGCTACCAATGTGGTGGGATTGCTTTGACTTCCCCCGATATTTTTTCAATAACCCTGTTCGAAATCCGTGGTTCTTGATGTTTGACGAGTTGAAAGGACTGATTTCACCCACACAGATTCTAGATTTGAGGGGGTCCTCTCTTTTAGCTTCAGTTTGGAGAAGAGTTGCTACACATTGCCTTTGTCCCTTTCCTTCAAGCATGACAACTTATGGCAGCCCCCTTTGAAAACCAATGGTCTTGCGTCGGGTGCGCATTTGTGAACTTGGCCTTCATCAAGTCAATCCGGTACCCTTCCTTTTCCTGCTCAGAACTCAACTGGGGTCGCCTTTTTTGGGCGGCTCCCCCCCATTTCCCTTTGGTCCCTGATTCTTCAGATTACGTGGCTTGGGGTTGTGGTTTGGACGCTAGGGGGTAGCTTCCCCATTTGGTTTCAAAACGAGCCGGGCTCAAATCTGAAAATCGCCAATTCAAACCAATTAAGAGATAGCTGATTTTTTGGACAGTTGCCTTGAAAAGCACGGTCTTGCAAAAACGTCCTGTCCACTTGCTCCACTTCACAAGTTCTGCGAAGAGGAGCCTAACTGACGGACTGAGAGATGTCCTTGATGCGAAATGGGTCACGGGAAAGCCTGAACGATTGGAAAGGGGTTTGGTGACCGCGTTAAAAGCAACTCGATTTCAGACATGGGACAATCATATCGTTTTGTTTTGAGCCTGCCCCTTGTTTTGGTGGTTTTAAAGGAAGACCTGAAGGAAAACCACCATTTGGGGGGGCGGGGGGGGGGGGGGGGGTGCCTGAAAAAAGAGACACCCATCTCCGCTGTTAGCAAAGTAAAAGACAGGGGCCTTATGATTTTCAGCTAGGGGAGGGGACAAACAGGACAGACACGGTGAACTAATTCCAGAAATGAGCTATGTGTCAAAAGAGGGGACTGCGTTTTAAAACGGTGGCCGTCCCTTTCCCGCAACCGAAGAAAGGGGCACCCAAATGTGCCTTGGTCAAAACACCCCGCACTGCGTGGTTGCAGGATAGTGATGATAATCCGTTGGATTATTATTCAGACAACCACAGGGATTCCTAGCAAGCTAAGACAAAGCCATAGGGAGCCACGAGTTTGTTTTGTTTTTTTCAGCTTGGGTTAAGGGCAACTAAAAGGAACAACCATTTTGGTGTCTCCTTATTCTGACAGTGACCTCAAACAGGGTCCCTATATTTATCCCTAGCTTGTTTAAGCATCACTTGTGGGGCCACTTTCCGCTGAGCCGTTAGCGTCAAGCCTGCGCGTGGCATGGCTGCTACCCGCGGGCTCTGATTGGCGCGTGCCATGGACAAAAACTGTGCCAGCCGAGACGGCATTCGCCATGTGTGGCACACGCTGTGTGCAGCTGAATGGACATGCGCAACAGCCACATGCCATGCCGGCCAGGTGGTGAACCTGCATTGTGCCCAGGTGCGCATCTGCAAGGATGAGCAAGGCCGTGTGAAATGCGCTGCAAACCTGCAGATCCCCCGAGGTCAAAGGAACGCGTGCTGTTTTGATGCCTGCATCCCGTGTGCCGCATGCCAGGAACAGTGGAACCATCCGGCGTGTGCAGTGGTTGTCCGCGTGCCACAGGAATGCGTGGACTTTGTCTGCCGTGATTTGTGCTTCTCAGCAATTGGAGCGGTTGTTACATTGCCAGCATGCAACGAAACCAACCAGGTGATGGAGGTTGATGCCACCCCCCCGGGATCGATCGTACTCCCTATGTCCCAACTGTCTCCCAGCCCCCCGGTGTTGCATGTGGAGCTGTTTGCCGGTGGCTTTGCTGGTTGGAAACGTGCTCAGACGATGCTGGCATTCCATGGAGCTTGCACCATCAGGTCCTCGTTCGCCGTTGAGATCGATGAGCAAACTGCCAATGTGTATGCCGCCAATAACCCGTGCCACCGAATTGGGCCTGACCCAGGCTCTTTCCGCCCTTGTGAGGTTGCTGCAAGATGTAAGCGTGGCCAAGATGTTCTCTACAATGGTGAGGTTCAGGACAAGGCTTGGCTCCTCTGCATCCCTGATACAACCATGCAAGTTTGGTCGGTTAGTGCCCCATGTGGGCCATGGAGTCGAGGTGGGAAACGTGAGGGACTCGCATGTGCTGCCGGTAGGTTGTTTGTTGAGACTGCAGTCCAAGCCAGGTGGCTTCGACCTCATGCCATTGCAGCTGAGAATGTTGATGGATTTGAGGATCATCCTCACCACGATACCGTGCTCAGGGCATTCCGTTGGGCGGGATACCAACTGCATTGGAAGTCTCTCAGTGATATGCGCAGTGTTTTTTCCTGCACCAGGAAGCGGTGGTTATGTGTCTGGGTCCGCGATGACTTGCTGCCAGATTGCCCAGGCACTGTTGAGTTGGTCACGCTTGAGGCAAATTCCCTTTTGGGGTTCAAATGTCTCTTTGACCTCCCCACTGCCTTGGAGCGCAACCTCACCTTGGACAGTGAGCTTTTGGACATTTACAGCGACCCATTGTTTCTTCCAGGCCCCAAGACCCGTGCTGCAGTTGAGATGTCACGTGCTAGTGTCCTCCAGAAACGTGTCAAGTCCAAGTGCGGACCCATTGGAACCATGACAGCCAGCTACGGTATCCAGCACCAGCTTGATAGTGAGATGCTTGCTTCCAAAGGGATCTATGCACAGCTTATCCAAGGAAACTTTGGCCCCAGGTTTCTTGCCCCTTTCGAGATCGCTGCCCTCATGTGTGTGAATACCAGGTTCACGGTCCCGAAGAACCCAAGGATTGGCCACAAGGTTGTTGGCAATGCCATTGCAGTCCCACAGGCAGCACTTGCCCTTGCCATGGCCTGTCGTGCCGTCATCCCTGGGTGCAACATTGACCCCCAGCACTGTGCGCTTGCATGTGTTTGTGATAGGTTGCACAGTGCCAATGCTTGGATACTTGAGGATGCCGCGTGCTATACCCTCCACCAGAAGGTTGTGCCCCGATGCGTTGCTAACCCCAAGCCTGCCAGGAAGCGCGCCCGTGTCGTCGTCAGTGAGCACGCGTCTGCGTCCTCCGGCATGAGTGAGCTGTATCAAGTACCGGGCCCCCCCGCCTGTTGCCAACGAGATGCGCCCCGTGAGCATGTTGGGCCAGTAGGTCATCAGCCCAACCATTGGACTAAGGCAGCCGGCGCTGAATGCGTGCCTCCCACGTGTGGTGGTGAGAGCTCAGAGCTTGCCAAAAAGGTCCCAGTAGGTGTCGGGGAAAATTTCGTGCCCAACCCTGCGGGTAGTTGTGATGAGTTATCGCCAATCGTTACTGTGTCCTCTCAGCTTACCCTGTGTAGCGATCCCACCCATGGCCCAGACGATCGGACCGCTGAGCCTCAGCACTGTGCCTCGCTTGTTGTGCCCGAGAGTGAAGGGGGCATTTCGCCCACCCTGCAATTCCAATGCACCATCATCCTCGCGTGCCAGTTCTACCGCTCCTTGCCAAGGAAAGATGGAACAGCCCAGTGTCGCCCGGCCACCCTGGTTGTCCCTGCCGGCCTTACCATTGATGAGGCGTTCCATTTGCATGGGTTGGACGCCTGGTCCCAGTACATCATGCTTGACCATTCTGGAATGCCTGTTGCGACCGGTGCCCAAATCCAGACGGACACCTCCGTCACACTTGTCGAGCCCACTGAGCAATTACGGGAGCTTGCCCGTCACGGCGCTACATGGCTCCCAGCAATTGATGGCAAGCCTGTAGGCCACTCCCTCGCCTTGTACCTCCCGGCTGTCGGTGGCGCTCTCTTACACCTTTTTGACCAAGTTGGGAGTGAAGTGAACGTGTCCACTGTGTGTGGCGGCCAGTCAGCAATCTTTGCCATCATTTTCCCATGCAAGCCCACTGTGACTTGGCACCGGGATGCCTTTTCCAACAAGTTGTCCGACCTTGACTTGCCCAGCAAAGTGAATCTCCCTCGATTTGAGGTTGACCGTGATGGCATTCGGTTCATAGCCACGCACAAGCATGCCTCCGAGCAGTCTAGGAGCGTACTCCGTCTGATCGCCGACATCATCCCTGTCATTGATGCTGCAGGGTGGCAATGGGTATCCCCCAGTGACCGAGTCCCTTTGGCACTCGGGTCATTGAAGCCGGTGCACGCACGGTCAGCCCCTGTTCACTGTGTTACCATGCTCCTTGCAGCACACATCATCCGCGGCCACATGACTTCCTGCCAGGTTGTGCATGGTGAGCGTGTCAAGTTTAAACTTGAAGGTCGAA